ACAAAGTGTGCAGCAACTTGGAGAAATAAGGGTGAAAACCAAAGAAGAGGAATTTTTGTTCTTACACTACCTTTGCATTTTTTTTTTTCATTTTCCTTTTTTTGAGTGCTTTTTTTTCTGGTTATTTTTTTTCCCTTCACACAGTTTTCAAAGTTTACCAGGCTAGTTTGTTATGCATTTGGTGATTAAATTTGATTTTACTGTTGAGAACATCTACAGTGTTTCTGTCAGTGCCACATCCAATAGCAATTTTGCAAGGATTGCCTTAGTAATAGGGACATATGCACACATGTATAGATAAGAGAAATCTCTCCTCACTTGAAGCTCTATCACTAGATATGGCGACGGAAGGTGCTTTTAACTCTGGAGCTTGCAACTTCTTCTATAGAGGCAAAAGATGTTTTCCTTTGACGCACTCGTCAGACAGATTTAATCTGACGATTAAATCTGTCTGACGAGTGCATAAGCACGAAACTCAGAGTAACAGAGAATCCTGCGTGTTTCATTTTAGTTATTTTGAACTGTATTTCGCTCTACACTCACGTGTGTTGAGCACTTTCCTACAGCACTTGGTATAATTGCCCACAATTATATTATATATATATATATATATATATATATATATATATTTCATAGAAATATTTTTTAGCTTTTTTTCATTTAAGTAAACTTGAAAAAAGGAAGCTTTTCGTAGACCTTAGAAAGTTACACAACACAAATGTGAAAGGGCGAGTCGCATTGCGACTTGCACCCTCACATTTTGGCTATGATATTTAATAAACTTAAATCAAAAGTCATAATGTAATGTTTTTACATCTCATTTATAGGGAATTAGTTTCTCATCACCCCACCTTATTGAATGTCATTGCATAATTTGTTTAGTTTGATTTACATGACTTCAACACAGATTAGAAATTTATGTTGCTTCCCAATACTGTGAGCTTTTTATGCCTCTTGGCTTTTTTTAAAGGAGAAAAAAGACATACTTGAGAGAAAGAAGTGATGATAAAATTCATGATCATTGTCCCTGATAAACAATCTTTCTTTCTTCAAGTTCAAACTTAATTTTTGTATGGTAGGATTCATTTTAAATATGAAACCAATACAATTGTACAGAAAAATCACAATTATTACAGTTACATTGATCAACAGAAACTGCAGCAATCAAGTTTAAGCTTACTGTTTGCAAATATCAAAGCAACAGTTGTAAATTAAGATATTTTTACTAGTAATGATGTTGTATGTCATGTTTTAGATTCAAGATTTTTACCTGATGTCCGCTGAATTGTACTGAATTGTTTGCAAGACAACTTTTCACTTTGAATACCCACCCATTAATAGAAAAGAAAAGAGAGTCCATAACATGCCATTAACCTTGTTGTTTTAAAATAAAAGATGGGCTTTATACATTGTATTCTGGTTGAGTGGTTACTGATCCCTTGCTTAGTTTGAGGTGGCCTCTACACTCTTACATTGTAGGTCATATTCTCCACCCTTTTCTCTTCGCACTTCCTTGAATCCCATTTCCTATGGTACTAACAAGGAAAATTTGTTTGACAATCAGGAGCTTCCTAAATTGGAGATCATTTCCACTTCTGTCATGATCTTTACATTTGATCCAAGGGTAATACTGTAAGGAGAAAGTAGAAGCCAGTCGTTCTTCGGGGGTTTATGAGGTCACTGATGGAAACAGTGAATGATAACCGAAATGTAGCATTCTTGTGGACCGTGCCTGAGATAGTGCTGTCAAATTATGCATTTGCTGAGCAACAACAAATGCATAATATTTAGTTTGACGTTCATTGAGCCGTGGAAGGTTGGATTTGTGGAAAATACGAAAATTGTTCTGGTTTACAACTGATGTATAGGCACACAATATTCGTACATTTGATGTGTTTCAGCTTTCATTTATCAGCTTATGTAACCGCGTGTGCCAGGTACACAAAGTTCAAGAGTTTGCTACACAAAGGTGTAACGTAACTAGTGCCTAGACTCTATGCGCACACTAGGAGTAAAGATGTCATCACCTCCAAATCAGTGCTTGCTTCAATAATTGCGAAGAAGTGGTGCATAGCGTTTTTGTAAACTGCTAAGTGAACTACTACCCCTAGCCAACCGTGTACCGTGGGAGGTCTGGGACGGAGTCAGCCATGGATAATCCGACTCAGAATTGAGGAATTAATCAAACTCGACCAGACACCTTATTGGTCATGTAGGTTATTACAGGCTTCGATTGATAATATTAGGCACGGTGATAAGTCCAAATCCACTCAGTAAATACAGACATGGAAAATAATATCAGAAAAGGGAAATAGCAGACAATGAGGAAGTCAGAAAGAGGCCAAAATTTTGACCCTGTTAATTCATTTCCGACATGAAAATTGATTTATCGATGGAGAAAATACCCTGACTGAATTTTGAACGGTATGTTACGCCATACAGGTCTTTGTTTTCCGGGGTTTTCGCTTTCGCTCCAACCATTCCGAAAAATCATTATTTGATTGATGAATTCCGGCTTCGTCTACCCGGATTACAAGAATTTATTGTACACAAAGGAGGCGGTTGTTACATTCACAAGAAAGACTTCAAACGATCTTACCAGCAATTCCCAACTGATCCAAAAGACTATAAATAACTTATTTTTCAGTAGTGGGACAGTTTTTTGTATTTTGATACTAGGTGCCCCTTCAGTTTGCGTTCATCTGCCTTGATCTGTCAGAGAACGACTCGGGCTGTCATTCTTGTGTTTACTGCGGAACGTTGTACCGCAGATGTTTATTTGGATGATTCATGTCATGGAGCTAAGCATTCATCAACCGCCTTTTCGGCCTCCGAACGTCTTCAAGAATTATTGGACAAACTGGGTCTACAAACATCTCCCGAAAAAGATTGTCCACCCTCTATACGGATGATTTGCCTGGGACTTCTCGTAGATACTTATCAAATGCTTATATGTTGGAACTTCATACGGAGTTATAGCAGTGGCTGCAACTTTCCGTCTTCTCAAGGCGTCAATTGCAGTTGTCATTTGGCACACTCTCATTTGTCACAGCTTGCGTCCGGCCGGGCAGAATTCTTATATCTACGAAGTGAAAGTGTAGCCGTACCCCCCCCCCCTACGAAGTGAAACGGTAGGTGGGTTTTACGGGAGGGGAAAGAGTGAATGGGGGGGGGGGGGGAGAAGGGTACGGCTGCAAGTAACTATATAAGCCGCCTAAGCAGTTTGTCACCTACGCAGTCACGTTTTCCCGTTACTAGTGATATGTTCTGATATTGACCCAGGCGGTGTGCGCAAATCGACTGCGTTGCATCGTGGTAGCTTTATTTTCAATAGGGCGGTGGAAGTGGCAGAAATTTGACTGAACACTCCATAAAAGTTAGGCCGTTAGTTTTTCTTTCACCATAGGTACAAGAAATTTTGTTGATTTTGAATGTTTAGAAGTATTTTTTGTACGTATTTGTCGACAAACGCAATCACTTTGCTGTACCGGTCGTAGTTTAAAATCTTTCAAAGATCTGAATGGCAATTTGATGCTTCTTTAACAGCTCTAACTAAACGTTCTCTAACGGTTCACGTGTTTTATGTATTTTATGCCATAGCGTTTGATACCGGTTATGGCGCAAAAGTGTGCTACTTGGTGTATTGCGTTACAAAGCGTTTCTACTTTAAGGACATTTCCCACAAATACTCAATCGCGCTGTAAATCTATTTTCTTAAGTAGAATCAAATTAACTAATTGCGAGTATTGTATGGTAATTCTACTAACTTGATCACTGAATGAAGGACAGTTGAATCAAAGCAGTTGAAAGGAATTACTTGACCATTAATAACTCCACATTGTGTAAGGCAACACGCCGGGTAAGCCGGAAAGCGAAAGGCAGTCAACCGTTAAAAGGTGTTGATAGGCTTGTGCAACTCCTGCCATTCGCTGGCGCTTTGAAATCTTCTTCTCTCAAAGTTTAGCTGTTATTAGGATATCTTTTAATGATTTTCCTTTGCGAGGTGATAATAAGGGTTGGTTTTAAGGTGTCATTTCCCTATCTGTATGCTCTTGAGGTTTGGCAAAACAGGATGAGATTGTATTACAACAGGCAATATAAATTTTCTTCCGTGCATGTGCGTCTGTTGTCTTCATGTGTACTTTCTCTTCCGCAGAAAATTACTCCGGAGAAACGTTTCTCAAAACCTTCAAATAGTATCCTCTATTCTTTAAGCGTATTTTGAAACTCTGTACGTTTTTTATTAGACGTGGAGCGAACGAATTCGTTCTTAGCAGACGTAGAGCTTCCTCTTGTTACAAATCCCTTATTTACGCCAAGTTGATGACACGAAAAAGAGCTCTAAAACTAGAAGGTCTCTGTCTATTTGTAATATGTTTAATATATAACTCGCGCTTAGGAATGTAATTTCTGAACTTGATATTATTCACACAGCCATCGGCTGTGAGTGTAACTGCCACCATTTATATAGATTCTTAGTCAAGAGAGCAGTTTCGATTCTTTCTGAGTCTCGTCAGTTGCCTCCTGAGAACAAATTCGTCTTGGAGGAATGACAGGAGTCGCGCAGGCTCGTGAACACTTTTTAACTTTCGAAGGAACGACAACAGACAGTGAATCCCATTACCATGCACTTAAATTCACACTACCTCGCTGCCACCAAAGACGTTCACTCGACCGCGACAGGACACAAATGACTCACGTTTTGTGTTGCGACCATGCTGCAACGCAATTAGAGTGCGCGCACCGCCTGTTTTCATTGGTTGCTTCTGAGTCGGAAGAATTCTAGTTATGACATAGTTTTTCTTGGTGAATTGACATAGGATAGAAATGTTGACCGACGATCGCAATTGCACGTGAACAGAACGTGATTAAAAGTGGCGTGACGTTGAAGTGATATTTTTGCATTGTAGTATTTTTCGCATTGAAACGCTAACATGTAATTTAAGAATATTCGATTTGATTGTGGATTGCGTCCTCTAAATTCGTCTTTCTGACAGAAAACAAATTACTCAATGACCGGCGTCTCCCGAAACAAACTGAACAGTTTTTGTGGAACCAAACTTTAAGTGTTTGGTGTCATTACATAGAACTCCCCGGATGTTAAGAAACAGCTTAGAAAACAACATTTCTTAGAAAAGGAAATTTGATTAGGGCTTAATTGTTGGTTTAAATATAATGCTAGTTAAATTTAAGTGAGCGCTGTTTATCATAGGAAACACTAGCCGATAAAGTTTCCTTTCACAGTCAGGTAACGAGTCACTTCAGTACAAACATGCTGGAAATGAATTCGAAATAATTCACACCTCTCAACCGAGTCATGGCATCTTTATGAGAAACTGGAAGCTTCTGCTTAGAGGACAACGAAGCCTGAATATTTTAATTACTCGATAGCATTCAAACTGTCAATATCAGGATCAAGAAAAACCTCAAACTCACTATTGCTACTTGAGGTACATGCAATTGTAGGTAAGGCTGCATATCTATATTTCATGATTTAATTCACTTTTTTAAGTCAGCGAATCTCTGGTTCTGTGAAGTAATCGACGATTTTGATTTGAGACGCTGATGGTTTTTCGGAAGTTTAGGAAAACCGTATGTTGAAACAAACAAGATTCGCTAATTTTCCTGGTTGAAATATCGACGGCTGCATTTTAACTGCTCCTTAGGACTAGAATTCTGAGATGTTCTCGACAGCTTTTGCTTCGGTATTTTCACTTCAAAGCAAATACTAATTGATAAATTCGAAATGATTTTAATGCATTAAGCATAGACAACACACCACTTCTTATTTATATATTTCGGGATACGCTGTTCAGATGCAAACTTTAAGTTTAAACATTTCGAGAGGTATATTGGAAGAGGTCGGCTCCAACTGTTCTTCTTATTTCGATTTATATCTAATTCAGTGCTTGTCTTATGGTTAACTGACGACTTTGGCGACGCAATATTAAGAGAAGGGCTTGTTTATCAACATGTGGCGAAAACAGCAGTGATGTATGAAAACAGGTAGAGTAATGTTGACTAGTTCAAGTTACCTGTGGGAATTGGAGCTCTGCTCCAGCACAGTAAATTTTTTTCAATCTCGTAGTTGCAATCAAAACCACCACTATAATCATAAAAGTCAGTGATGCTGTATTTTAATTCTTACGTATCTTTGTATTTTGCAACTATTTTCAATTATTCACCGAAGTGATAGCGCATATTTGTTTCGGAGAAGACTTTCTTCCAAGGTCAAATTCAACCCGGTTTCCTTTATCATTTCAAATGTTATTTTATCTCAAAGTAATGATTGACAAGCGAAGTCAGTGACACATACTATTGTAAATATTGACGTGGTGAAATCGGTATGAGACATGAAAGACATGGGTGAAGGCAGAATTACTTAAAAGATTCGCGCATTTCCGATAAACCGGTGGCCTTGTGCAAATAAAACCTGTTTTGATTTTTGAATAGTCATACAACCAGCTCTGATTGTTGTGAAAGTTTTGAAGTGAAGGATCTGAATGAAAAGAGTGCGTCGCGGTTAATTTAATCGATATTGTCACTTCAATAAGATCAAGGCATGCAACTGCCTTTTAAATTCCTATCAGTCACCATGAAAAAAAAATTTTCTCAAGATAAGGTCACGAACTGTCTCAGCTCGAATTTGCAAGCTTTTAATTACGTCACAACTCCCCAGCAGCGTTCTGAGAAATCGGGCGCTGCCGCTGCAAGAAATATTGTCCGAGGAGTCGATAAAATACGCCCTAGAAATGCCCACATCTCTTAAAGAAACAAATCAAGCCTAAGATTTTGATTTTATAATTTGAGGGTGAGTCTTGGTTGATGTATTCATTTTCTTTGTTACTACGTGATGTGTCAAGCGAGGCTTTCGTATCATTTCTGGTTCAGTCCGCTTGCAATAGTCCACGATTCACCGGAGTTTAAGCGTAACACTTAATTAGAGATGAGCATTTCTCTAATATTTTCGATTTTTTAATGAACTGAGACCATATCAAAGGGTAGGAAAATTTGTTTGTAATTCGTTTAACAACAAAAAATACCGTGGAAGATGAAACTCAAGTATTTCAGCGTACTTTAATCAGCGAGCACAGTGAAGGTCAGATACATAAATGCTGCTTATTCAGTCACGGATCTACTGGCCAGTTTATAATGTTGGTATATGGTTTCTTTACATCTTTCTTCTTTTCCTTCACTCACTACTAAATATTTCCTGTGGTATTTGGTTTGAGTTCCATGATAAATCACCTTGAAAGGAGTAATTCAATTTATGTTGTGGTGACCGTCATTGTTTTGCGTGTTAGACTGCAAGAGTTGCAGCGAGAAAAACCGTCTAAAAGCAATATATATCTTTATAGGAAGGCTCAATTCCAAGACTAAGCAGAAGGGATAACAGAGTGATATGGCGGTACGTACTTGTTATTTTAGCTATTGCGGCAATAACGTTTACAGCAAATGGTGAAGTCAAAAAATCCGAACGAGTCTTAATCGTTTTCCATCTTAATTACCTAAATGCGACAGAAATTATCAGAACATACATTTGATGATTTTTCTGCTTATTACGATGATGCATTTACAGTCCAAAACTCATTTTCGATTCTTCTCTTCTAAAACATTATTAAACTTTTTACTTTTATCAAGAATGATCTCAGCTGGTATGGAGCACTTGCGTCTCTCTTGAAGCGAGTAGCTCTTTGAAGACCTAAGAATGACTATCCCATTACCCTAAGATTTTTGAAGAAGACCTGTCTCCTTTTTTTTTTCTGACAGCAAGCCACAGAACTTTCATCACTAAACTACGACAAAGGAATACCACTCTGTCTCCCCAACAACTTTACTTGGGACCCATCAACACAAGAAGTGAGGAAGACGGGTGATGTCCGAAGATCCCTTTGTCCAATTCCGCAGGCTGTTAAGATGTTAAAAGAAATTAAAGGTATAAGTGCATACTAATTTCTAGGGAAAATTCAGATCGCTGCATGATTAATCAAAGAGAGCGTTAAATTTGTCTTCATTAAAGTTAAATAGCCGGATTGGGAGCATTTAAATTGACAGAGAAATGTGGTCTTATTATTGTCCCATTACTTGACCAAGTCTGGAAGATTAAAGATCTGACAATGGCCAATGAGTTGTAAACTCGTTCATGCATTTTGTATCAACCTGAGAAAAAATTTCCTTACCTTGGTTATGATTTATTCACATGGGAATTTATTACCTTTGTTTAAAAGAAACGCTTTCTTGCTTAGATCATAACTCTTGCCTTAACGACATGGAGCGATCTTCCGCCTCAGTCACTTCTAACAAGTATTGTAGTGGGCTTCATTCCAAGCAGAATTAGAGACTGAAATTCGAGTGTAATGAACAAATTGAACCACTCCTTTTATGATAACGAATTTCAAAACACAAGAACATTTGCTTTGCAGAGCCAGTGTGCGTTGTGTCCATTGCTGGTCCATGCAGAGCAGGAAAGTCCTACATAATTGATGACGTATTTGGTCAGATGGAGGCGTTTCCTGTCGGTCATTTTACGGACCCAGAAACTACAGGAATTTGGATGTGGATTTCCCCTCAACCATTTAAGGTTTACATAAAGAAATAATACATATACTCGTATGGTGAGATTATTGAAAATATTCGAGTAAGTTACTTTGATCTGGGCTGTGACCATGATAAGCAATCTTAAATTGGTCACCATTTCGAACAAATGCGATTCAGCTATTATAATATCTTTATGAACAGTAAATATGACGTTTTTCGTCCTTACTCCAGAGGTACTTCTCCCCTAATCAAAGAATCAAAGGTAATTTTCACCTCGTATCAACACTGCAATCGCTACTTTAATTAGTAGGGGCTTACGCGCTACCATTTTTAACAGAAGTTACTTATTGGCCTTTACAGGACTCGCAAGGACGGGACTTTAAAGTAATCCTGTTGGATTCAGAAGGAATCAATGCTGTTTCTGCTGAGGATAAAGATGATCACCGAATCTTCACCCTCACTGTTTTGCTAGCCTCAGTGCTGATTTACAATTCAATGGGCACTCCAAAGCGGACAGACCTTAATGATTTGGAGTATCTTTTGATAATCAGAAGGACAGCTGCTCTATAATGATTAGCATTATGTTTATTCTGAGACTGAGTGAACTTTCTAATAAGGCCGTGGACCTTTCACACGTTCGTAGGTTATAAAGATGATGTTCAAAAAGAGACTTAAACAGAATAAAATCACCTATCTGAGTGATCAGGGAAAGAGCTTGAGCTGGTTGGGAGTTGTTATAGTTCAGCTGGTTGGGAGTTGTTGTAGCTGCCTTTCGAAATCCTTAATCATGGCTTAGCTTCATAATAAAATTATCACAGCAAATCAGGATCCAATCGGAAGATGACCCGGACGATAAGGACCTGTTCCGCAACACATTTCCATTCTTTTTTTGGCTTCTGAGAGACGTTGTCCTTAGGCTTCCTACTGAGTGCGAAGACCTCAATCAGTATTTTTCGAAAAGGGTAAGTCGCACAGAGCTCGATAAGTATACCTTTCTTTTAAGACCAGTCACCTCCCTTAAACCAGATTATGTTCCTTTTCGCAAGAATGTTTTTAAAAATGAATGAAATATATAATACATGATTCATTTTGTCAATGTGAAGCTGATGTATATGGCTTTGAAAACTAAAAAGTGATTTTGACATGCGGATGCCTGTCTACAAAGACTTTTTTTAAGGAAGAATCCTTGGTATGTGTTTTTTTTTTCCGGTGGCAGAGAAGTAACCTATTAAGGGACATAATAAGCATGAAAAAGATATTATTGTCATCATCATCGTCGTCGTGATCATCATCATCATCATCATTATCTTTATCATTATCATCCTCATCATTATCATCATTATCATCATTATCACTGTAATCATAGCTGTTATTTTCATTTTTTGTGATCATCATTGTGCTTTTTGTGAGATCGTTTTGCGTGATAGCAGGATTAGATGTAAAATATAGCATTTCTTGTATTTTTTCCTAGGTTTTTAAGGGGATGGCAAACGAAAACCAAGAAAAAGTCGCCGAGAGCATTCTGAGTTTTTTCCCCGGCTTCGAAAGCTTCGCTCTGCCTCCACCTTCAGATGATCCCGACATAATGCAAGATATTAGTAACAACCGGGACAAACTTAACCCCAAATTCCGCGAGGGGGTAAAACGCTTTGAGGTTCTTTTGAAATCAAAACTGGTTCCTAAAAGAAGTATCAACAAAGGAGAGTACGTTACTGGAGAAGGTTAGTAAGAATTATTTTCATTTACTATTGTTCATCAGAGCGTTTATGGACTAGGTGTCGCAAGCCAAGAACTAAAGTTCACAAGAACTCAATGTTACTGGAAGTGCGAAGAAAAGGAAGTTCACCAAATCAACGTCAGCCGGAGGCTCACTAGGGACGTAGATCGTGATTTTCTCCTTCCGGAACACGCTCAGCACCCCTGTCGCCTCACTTTGATGCAAACTGTCTCAAACAAGTGATGAGAAAGAAATTTAAATATAAATTTGTAAGACACAAAATAAATGTAAATCAGTTGGGAATGTCAGAGATTTGATTAAAGGAAATGTCATGGAGTTAATAATGTAAAAGGAAAAAATTAAAATAAGGCCTTTATATTCACAAAGGGGGTAGGTTTCTAAAGAAAGTGTGGTACTGCGTCGGTGGAAAAGTATAACAGGGTAATTTAGTATTACCAAATAAGTTTGATAACGTAAATTAGCCCCTGTTAAGAGTTTCAAAGCTCTTAACAGTGGCCAATGTACCCTATCGACTCTTGATAATAGCAAACTAACTTTTATATTCATAGTTGGGTTTTTTGAGTGTAAAAGAACAATGTGGCTTTCCTCCTCAATTTTTTTTGTTTGTTTCGTGAGATTCTCATCATTGGCTTTTACACACATCACAAACCTGTGCAGTTTCACCAGAGCTGAAACTTTGGTGATGACTACTTATGTTTTTGGGGATCATCTTAAATTCACACGAGCCAATGAGTAAGATGTCGATTTTTTTCTAAATAGAGGTGAATTTTGATAACAGAAATTGTGTGTATCTGTGTCTCTGTTAAGAAGAAAAAGCATTTTTTATTTAAAACAACAAACAGAAGAAACAAAAAGTAACGTGCAAAGTTTCTATCTTGTGTATTTAGCCCTTGGAGAGTTGGTCAAGTTATATATAGACGCCATCAACGACCCTCACGCGATTCCAAATGTGACGAAGGCCTGGGATATCTTTGTTAAGAACAAAATAGCAGATGCTAAGCAAGATGCCTTGAAAGATTACGATCAGTCCATGATACAGTTAACACGCTTGCCCTGCGTTGGAGAAAAACTTCTGGAGGACCACGAATTTTCGGAAAAGCAGGCCACGAAAAAATTTATGGAAGAAACTGCTGAGCTTAACTGTACTACCCTAAAAGACGAATTGACGGATCTGATTGTAAGTAAATCGTACCACCTTGTTTTGAAGTTTTCCTAGAAATTTTTCTGTGAATTTTACAAGTGGGGTCTAGTAGGTCGTTTCTCTGTAAACTTGAATTAAACGATAAGAAGCCATATCATGTGCTGCGGGAAAAAGTGCAGTCCCTCCCGTCATCATTTAAAATTTGCAATAGCATAAAAAACAAAGACTTAGTACTCTCGAAGGAGTAAATTTCACTACAGTTTAACTGAGCGATAATTCGCAATAGTAACCACTGCTTATATATCGGTACAAATCTACAGGTAGCTTTTTTAGCAGCCTTTGGTTCGCACTAAACTTGGGAAGTCTTAGCAGTTGGGGAAAGGCTCCCCATCTGAGTAAATAGTTATTAAGCCCTGCTAAAACGATTCTATCCAGAAGTTGGACAAAAACTGTGGCCCACAGGATGGAGGCACAAAATTTAGTTTGCTACAATAAAATAGAAGCCCCTTTACTGCTAGCCTTCAATAGTATCTTTTTTCTGAGACTTTTTAATCAATTTTTTTAAAACTTTTTACGGAAGTAATTAGTCGAAAGGAAAATGGTATGCTATGGTAAATATCGTCTGTCTTGGTAAGTGTGGAAACTACGTACCATGGCTGTACTGGGCGCAGTTAAAAACTCAATATGGATTTTGCTACTTTTTCCACTTTAGAAATCGTTTGCCGAAAAACTGAGGCTTTGGAAAGATAAGAATGCCTCCTTAACGCAAACATCTTGCGATGATTTGTTGAAGAAGTTGAAAGCGGAGCTTTTAGATCCAGTCTATGAAAGGGTGCGTGGTCCAAACTGTGCCCAAGTGAGATATAGTGACATAATCGATGCCTGGAGAAAAATAAAAGATCGTTTCTACTCGGAAGCTGTGGGAGCACAGGACGTTAGGGCAGATACATTCTTCAAATTCAATCAGGTAAACTAGCACGCAGATGAAGAAGTATCTCTTGAGTTAATTTTTTATGTCCTCCACCAGGATAGTGAGAGTCAGTCAGCGATTTCGGCTGCGACACTTCGGTCTTCCTTCCTTTATTACATTCAGTGAATGAAATAGATACCGAAGCTTAACAGATTCCCAAAGTGCAGAAGTAGGGCATCAGTATTTTAGCCTTAGAGAGCATATCGAAGACTCTAGTAATAGGCATTGTAACAGGCCGGCAGTGGATTTTCACAATGGAGGATCAACGTTTTAAATATAACATAAACCTTGCTTTCCTACCCAAATGAAGGATATTTTCATGGAATGTTTTAAGGAAGGTTCCTTTCTAAATAAAAATTCGATTTAGCAGTGGCTATTAGTTTTTTAACCGCGTAGATTCATTCCAATTTGATCGTTTTGGAAAGTTTTTTTTTAATAATTCTTGTAAATTTTGCGCCAAGAATCTATTAAGCGTACTCCATGACCTGTATCAAATGTATCGCTAATGTTTTGCTGACGCCATTTTGGGATTCGTAAGTCGGTGAGTTGACCTGTCCATTTCTTTGTCAGACGCACTTGCAAGATGAGATGATGCAATACGAAGAAATTCTAAAGAAGATGAAGGATTATGATGATAGTATTTCCAAAGAAAGGGTCGCAAAGGAGTATATAGAAAAAGAACGAAGAAGACTGGAGGTGAGTTGCATTCAAGTTATAATTAGAAAAATTGCTGTAAGTGTGGTTTACACGTCAGATGTATGGTTGATCTATCTTCATCAACTTGATGAAACTGATTTAACAAATAATTGTATGAATGTGTTTATTCACTATCACACTTAAGTTAAGAGAAATGTTTTATAAAACTATAAATGTTTACCAGAACTGAAAATACTTGCCTTGCAGGCGCAGCTTACTGAAATGACAAAGAAAGAGCAAGATCGTCAGGAAAAGGTGTGCTTTGACGTTTGCATTCCATTACATTCTCAGTCTCAACATGTTTTTCACATTTTCCGTTCCAAATGTTGCAATGATACTATTTAGTTCAGCAACGAGACATTGTTAATGATATCAACACATGCTCGTAAGAACGCGTGTGGTATTATCATAAGAACATTTTTCATATTTTCAACATCTCACACAATCCGAGCAAGACATTGATTACTTACCGACACGTTTTATCCTTTGCAGATGGAGATGCTTGAAAAGCGGCAGCAAAGCGAATTGAAATTGATAAAGGAACAGTCTAGACAAGACATTGATGCTTTGCAAAAGCAAATTGAAATAGTGAACGACGCCGGCATGAAGGTTCAAAAGGATTTAGAAACACAAATGGAAGGTGCCATCGAGAGGGAAAGAGAAACAAACAAAGCACTCCAAGCGATGAAACTGTTGTCTGATCAGAAAGAAGCAAACTTTCATGCTAGCGTCAAAGCTATGAATGAAGAGATCCAAGAGACGAGGGGAGCAACCCAAAGAAGTTTCGAGGAACTTTTTAAGCAAATAAACCTTAATGCAAAGACGGAAGGTCAAACCATTCATGTTTTAAACAATACGATACAATTATTGGAGGAACATAGAAAGGACGCTGCAGCGATGAGAGATGAGATCCAAGATTTACGAGACCAGTTAGGCAAAGCTCAAAACCCAGGTTATATTTCATGGTTTATTCGTAAAATATTTTAGTCACTACACTATTGGTCTTTATTACTTTAGTTGTCTGTGCTTAGTTTAAACTTGAACCATTACAGCTAACTTTTCTTGCCACTGCGTTATGTCCGAGGTGCTCAGGACTAGTTGTCAGTTTTCGTCACTGGAAAATGCATGCGTATGGAAAAATTTCCAAGTTTAAACTTGGCGAAAGTTTGATCTCTAGAGTTTCTTTGATTTTGAGAAAGATTTGTTTGTCAAGCCAATTTTGGTGGTCTAGCAACAAGTTGTTGGTGAAGAATTGTACACCTAGCTGTTAAATATATACATATATGAACTACGTAAAAAGGATCAGCGTTTAGTGATAACTGAACACTCGATGGTGGGTTGTAATGATTCTCGCTTGGTTAATCGTCACTTTATCTTTTTTAAAAGGGATCGTCATGAGAAAAGGAAAAAGTAGGAGAACAAATAAGATTTGGGGCAAGCGTCAAGTCTTCAGAAACATGTTAGCTTTTACGCATGTATGTTAACTTGAAACAAGGAGCCACTTTATTCCATGATTTCGCTGTAATAGCCTGATTTGCATGATCACGGAGTTATGCCGAGTTGTTCTGGACGTCTAAATTTAAAAGATAGCGAAATAAACTAAGTACATTGATCACCTTGGGTGAGGATAGGTAATTACCGTAGAGAACACGCCCCTGATCAGCTAGAAAAAAATTTCGGCCAAGAAACCAACCATTGATTGACCTCAAGACTTTGTTCCAGATAGGTCAGCTAATGCAGGGTTTAATACGTTAGACTTCCCAGCTTTTGTCGTCGGATGTTTGGCCACGATCTGACCGTACGATGCAGAGTTGAACTCGTACATGCGACCAAAGCAATAAGCTATTCGTGTTCCATGATCCAATGAGGTGTTGCTGATCACGCGTGTTATCTTAATAATGATTGACGTTGTCATACATGGACAGGGCTGGGTCACATGACAAACCGCGAGATTTTTGCCTATAAAACTCTTTTGTCAATCGCTTTGTATTTCAACGTGTTTGGATTGCGATCACCTGGAGCATTATGGCGCAAACGCTCAAAATACTTACAGACGCATACACAAGTCGTATTGTTCGCGGCAATTCCACACTAAAAGATGTTATTGAGCGGTAATTTTGGAACGGATTGAGTCGCGAACGCTTGAAAGTCATGAAAGCCTTGAATGCCTTGTATGCCAAGTATGCCAATGTCTTAGTTGAAAAACGTACACTTGTTGTAAGAAGCAAAATCTGAAATCTGAAACCAAACTGCATATACTTTATGCAATCTATTGAACAACACTACTACCGTGAGACTGAAGAACAAAACTCTAATGGATGCAAACTGCTTGTGAAGTAAGACACCATGTTGGATTCACTTGATGCCAGGGAACGTAGCTACGATAACAGTGCGAATGGTACTAATTTCACGACCAGAAAGGTGAATCTCATGTTTGTTTTCATTGTAGTACATGTAAATACATGATCCAAAATCCTGTGTTTTTGTGTATAATGTTATTATGTTAAGTATTGTTTACGCAATTGTCTTGTCACAGGCGGCCCAAGCCCACGTCTCGAGAAAAAGCCAACGATTAATTCATGATCGCGTCACGCGTTATGTGACTCGGTGTTCAGTTACGAGAGGAACCGTTGAAAATTTGAACACGTTATAAGGAATAGTATAGGGAACGAAATATGGTCGATTTACAACGATAAATATTTCGAAATATGAACATTTTTCTCGTAAAATCAATAAAACTTTCTCATACCCTGTGTATCCGTTGTAGTTTCTGGCGATTTCTGCCGTTTTAAGCGTGCTTTACCATCACTGTTATTCACGTCATCTACTTTTATTACATTGGTAAAATCTGTACAGACATTACACCAACCAACTCGCGCGCAAAGTAAGAAGACCATATTGAAAGCTTGAAATTATATTACGATCGATTTTCATCAAGAAATGGGCCAGGAATATTCCACAATAGTGCAAATAATTGTGAAAGCTGATCGCGGAAAAGCGATTGCGTGACGCTCGGTAAGCTGTAAGATGACATATTATTATATACCAGGCGTAAAAACTCTTCAGATTCTCAGTCTGCATTTTATACCCACTCTGCAGTCTGCTGTCTGCATTTTGTACTAACAAGTATCCGTGGCACCAATACAGTTTATTTTTTGTTACATTTATTCGCACAACACATACAATCTACAAAAAATTCCTGTGTGTGAGTTAATTCGACATTTTTGTTCTTTTCCGCGTTAATGCTCTTCTTTCCTTTTGTAAGAATGTAGACCACTTACAATGTTTCGAGTAATCCACCCACCCTACAAAAAATAACTCTTGCATGCATAGCATGCCTATGTTTTGAAATAGGTTTATGCCCTTGGCCAGACTTGAGCTCACTATTTCAGTATACTAGTCCGACATCCGTAGTATCAATACACTTGATTCCAAGGATCCAATACCATCCAGGTATCCCAGTTACCCTGCTCACAGGGTCTAGTTTTAAATATGGCAGTGGAAGCGGCGGAAATTGGCAGATTTTGATTGAACATTCCGTAAAAGGTAGGACGTTACTTTTTTCTTTCACCACAGTTACAAAACATTCTGTTGATTTTGAATGTTTGGAAGTATTTTTTGTACGCATTTGTCGCGTATTTTATGGTTCTTAAGGACAAACGCAATCACTGTTTATTAGTATGTTACTTGAGACCGGTTTTCGAGAAGGTCACATTTAATGTACCGGTCGTAGTTTGAAGCCTTTCAAAGATCTGAATGGCCGCTTTGATGCTTCTTTAACAGCTCTTACGTAACGCTCTCCAACGGTTCACGTGTATGTGCATTTTAAGTCATAGTGTTTGACACCGGTCATGACCGCAAAAGGCCTACTGTTGCGTTTAGTGTCTTGCGTTACACAGCGTTTCTACTGTTACCCTTTAAGTCCCGAGATCTGATCGTTAATTTTCCCCTCTGGCTGCAACACATCTCGTAAATTAGTTACGAGAATTTGGTGTTGGATCAAGATAACAACTTCCACCTGATTAGTTTGAGTATTCTCAATACCTGTGTGCAGGTTAATGTATGGATATTATAGGGAGGAGTTACATGCCAATCACTTCTGGTAGTTAAAGGGTTAAAGACATTTCCAATAAATACTCAATTGTGTTGTAAATCTACTTTCTTAAGTAGAAGCAAATTAACTAATTGCGAGTATTGTATGGTAATTCTACTGACTTGATCATTGGATGAAATACAGTTGAATAAGGGCGGTAAAAGGAATCACTTGACCAATGAACAACTCCACATTACGCAAGACAAAAATATACTAGAAGGTCTCTGTCTATTTGTAATGCGTTTAATATGTAACTCGCGTCTAGGAATGTAATTTATGAATCTAATGTTATTCACGTAGCCATCGGCTGTGAGTGTAAGTGCTGCCATTTGTGTAGATTCTTAGGCATGGCTGCCGTTTCGATTCCTTCTGAATCTCGTCAGTTGCCTCCTAAGAACGAATTTGTCTCGGAGGAATGACAGGAGTCGCGCAGGCTCTTTAACACTTTTTAACTTTCGAAGGAACAACAACAGACGGTGAATCCTCATTACCATCCACTTAAATTCACATTACCTCGCTGCCACCAAAGACGTTCACTCGACCGCGACAGGATACAAATGACTCACTTTTTGTGTTACGACCATGATGCAACGCAATCAGAGTGCGCACACCGCCGGAAGAAATCTAGAAGCAGCGTAGGAAAAAACATTTTTTAGAAAAGGAAAATTGATCAGGGCTTAATTGTTGGTTTAAATAGAATGCTTGTTAAATTTAAGTGAGCGTTGTTTCTCATAGGAAACGATAGGAAACAAAGTTTCCCTTCACAGTCAGGTAACGAGTCACTCTAGTACGAACTTGCGGAGAGTGAATTTGAGATAACTTAATTTACACCTCTCAACCGAGTCATGGCATCTTTATGAGAAACTGGAAGCTTCTGCTTAAAGAACAACTAAGCCTGTATATTTCAATCACTCGATAGCATTCAAACTGTCAATATCAGTATCAAGAAAAACTTCAACTTCACTATTGCTACTTGAAGTACATGCAATTCTAAGTAAGGCTGCATACCTATATCTCATGATGTAACTAACTTTTTTAAGTCAGCGAATCTCTCATTGTGGATCCCTAGTTCTGTGAAGTAATCGACGATTTTAATTTGAGACGCTGATGGTTTTTCGAAAATCGTTTTTAATCATTTTAGGAAAACTTTATGTTGAAACAAACAAGATTCGCTGATTTGCCTTGTTGAAATATCGACGGTGGTCGCTCCATAGGACTACGTAGAATTCTGAGATATTCTCAACAGCTTTTGCTTCGGTATTTTCTCTTGAAAGCAAACACTGATTAATAAATTTGAAATGATTTCAAATTTATGGGCCATCTCCCCCACTGTATTAAGCATAGGCAACACACCACTTCTCCTTTGGATATTTCGGAATACGCTGTTCAGATGCAAACTTTAAGTTCTCCAGACTCATTTCGAGAGGTATGTTGAAGGAGGTCGGCTTCAACGGTTCTTCCTATTTCGATTTCTACCTAATTCAACGCTTATCTTTAGCGACACAATATAAAGAGATGGGTTCGTTTATCAAAATGTGGCGAAAACAGCAATAATTGCGGGCGACCAGCGGAGCCCGCAATCCTAATCTCAACATTGGTTACAAACGCATGCGCGGCAGTTATATAGCCTTGCAATGACCTGAATTTCGCGAAAAAAGTCGTCCTTCCAAATATTTGTCCCTAGGGACACTAAGAACCAATGAAATGAAAGGACGTAATTTGAGCATAGGCGCTTTGACCACGCGAGACAAACACGAAGCAGCAGTAATTTGAGCACAGGCGCTCTGACCGCTAGAAACCAACACCAAGCAGAAGACAATTCTCACCAAAGCATAGCTGTTTCACGTTCCATAGTCAATGATCTTTTATGTAGTTGAAGGGCTCAAATAATATGTAAATTTCGCCTTCTTGAAGCTAAGAATGTCAAGAATCACGTGCAGTTCATGCAGAAGTGGCGGTCCATAAATTGGAATGCACACAACACAATTTTATCACGTGGACGACGTCTATTTCGTCGAAGAATCACGTGCAGCTCATGCATAGCTGGCGCGCCGTCCTCAAGTGGAATAGATCCTAGGTTGCCAAATCTATATATGTCCATTTTATAATCAACAGTGTTTTTATTTACAACGTGAAAAAACAACCATTTTGTCAAACCCAACACAAAATAGGACTGGTGTATAATCAAACTGGTGTTACTGTTTCACAAGGTCAGTAAAACCACTCTTAGGTCCCTTTGTCTCGTTTATGGGAAAACAATCACCCACACTATGCAACCCTTTATTGCGCTGCAAATATAAATGCCCAAAATGGAAAAAGACCACAACGCCACTGTTTTACAATGAAATCGTTAACCTCAGTGAAACAAATCATGCATAGCCCTCGCACGCACTTCCTAACCTGTGGTTATTACTAGTATATAAAAACAGGTAGAGTAGTTTTATGGCACTGACGAGTTCGAATTACCTGTGGGAATTCGAGGTCTGCTCCAGTACAGGAAATTATTTTTAATCTCGTGTTGTTCCATAGTTGCAATCAAAACCACCATTTTAATCATAAAGTCAGTGATGCTGTCTCTTAATTCTCTAAGATGTCTATATCATGACTGCATGCCTCTTGTATCTTTTGTATTTTGCAACTGTTTACAATTATTCGCCGAAGTGATGGCGCATGTTTTTTTCGGAGAAGACTCTCTTCCAAGGTCAACTTCAACTCGATTTCCTTTACAATTTCAAATGTAATTTGACCTTTGAGCAATGATTGACAGGCAACGCCAGTGACACATACCATTATTAATATTGACGTGGTGAAAGCGGTATGAGACACGAAAGAAGTGGGTGAAGGCAGTGTAACTTGAGAGGTTCACGCTTTTCCTAGAAATCGGTGACCCTGTGCAAATTAAAACCTGGATTGATTTCTGAATAGTCATACAATCAGCTCTGATCATCGTGAAGTTTTTAAGTAGAGGTTCTGAATAAAAAGAATGCGTTGCGGTTAATTTAATCGATATTGTCACTTCAATAAGATTAAAGCCTGAAAAAAAAATTCAAGAATAGGTCACGAACTGTCTCAGTTCGGAATTTGCAAGCTTTTAATTACGTGACAACCTCCCCAGCAGCGTTCTCAGAAATCGGGTGCTGCCGCTTGGAGAAATGATGTTCGAGGAGTCGATAAAGTACACCCTAGAAATGTCCACATCTCTTTAAGGAACTAACCAAGCCTAAGATTTCGATTGTCTAATTTAAGGGTAAGTCTAGGTTGGGGTATTTATGTTCTTTGTTACGATGTGACGTGTCAAGCGAGGCTAATGTACTTTTCTGGTTCAGTCCGCTTGTAATATTCCACGATTCAAAGTAAAGACATTGGGGATCAAGCGTAATACTTGAAGAGATGAACATTTCTTTAAGATTTTCGATTTTTCAATAAACTGAAACCATATCAAAGGGTAGGAATAATTGTTTGTAATTCGTTTAACAGCTAAAAATACCGTGAAAGATGGAGCTCAAGTATTTCAGCGCACTCTAATCAGCGAGCACATTTAAGGTCAGATACGTAAATACTGCCAATTTATAATGTTGATGTATAGCTTCATTACATCTTTCTTTTTTTCCTTCACTCCTTACTAAATATTTGCTGAGGTATTTGGTTTGAGTTCCATGATAAATCACGTTGAAAGTAGTAATTCAAATTATGTTGTGGTGATCGTCATTGTTTTGCGTGTTAGACCGCAAGAGTTGCAACGAGAAAAACCGTCTGAAGAGCAATAAATTTCAGAACCACGCAAAGGGATAACAGAGTGATATGGCGGTAGGTACTGAGCTATTTTAGCCGTTGCGGGGGCAATAACATTTACGCCAAATGGCGAACGTCAAAAAATTCGCACGAGTCTTAATCGTTTTCCATTTCAGTTACCTAAATACAAAAGTATTATAACACACATTTGCTTTTTTGTGTGCCAAGGATGATTATGCATTTGCAGTGCAAAACTCGTTTTCATGCCTTCCCTTCTAAAACAATATTAAACGTATTAATTTTATCAAAAATTATCTCGGCTAGCATGGAGCATTTGCATCTCTCACGAAGCGAGTAGCTCTCTGAAGACCTAGGAATGACTATCCCATAACTCAAAATTTTTGAAGATGACTTGTATATTTTTTCGACAGCAAGCCACAGAACGTTCATCACGAAACTATGATAAAGGAATACCACTCTGCCTTCCCAACAACTGTACTTGGGACCCATCAACACAAGAAGTGAAGAAGACGGGTGATGTCCGAAGATCTCTTTGTCCTATTCCGCAGGCTGTTGAGATGTTAAAAAAAATTAAAGGTATAACTGCATACTAATTTGTGATAAATTTCATATCGCTGCATGATTAATCAAATGGAGCGTTAACTGGTGTTTTGTTCAAGTTAAATAGCCGCATTGGGAGTGTTTAAGTTGACAGAGAAGTCTAGCTGGTTAAAGATCTGACAATGGCCAATGAGTTGCAAACTCGTTCATGCATTTTGTAACTTGGTTATAATTTATCCATCTGGGAACTTCTTACCTTTGTTTGCAAGAAACTCCTTCCTGCTTAGATCATAATTTTTGTCGTAAATTACTTGGAGCGATCTCCCGCCTCTAACACGAATTGTAGCCGGCTGAAATTCGAGTGTAATGTACAAATTGATTCATTTCTTTTATGATAAAAAAACATTAAGACACAAGAACATTTGCTTTGCAGAGCCAGTGTGCGTTGTGTCCATTGCTGGTCCATGCAGAGCAGGAAAGTCTTACATAATTGATGAAGTATTCGGTCAAATGGAAGCGTTTCCTGTCGGTCATTTAACAGACCCAGAAACTACAGGAATTTGGATGTGGATTTCCCCTCAACCGTTTCAGGTTTGAACAGACAAATAATACATAGTGCAATACACTCGTATGGTAAGATTATTGAAAATATCGGAGAAGGTTACATTGATCTGGGCTGCGACCATGATGAACAATCTTAATTTAACCACCATTTCGAACAAATGGGATTCAGCTATTATAATATTTTTATGAACAGTAAATATGATAACGTATTTCGTCCTTACTCCAGAGGTACTTTTCTCCTAATCAGAGGTAATTTTCAAACCGTATCAACACTGCAATCGCTATTTAAATTAGTGGGGGCCTACGCGCTACCACTTTTAACAGAAATTCCTTGTTGGCCTTTACAGGACTCGCGAGGACGGGACTTTAAAGTAATCCTGTTGGATTCAGAAGGAATCAATGCTGTTTCTGCAAAGGATAAAGATGATAACCGAATCTTCACCCTGACTGTTTTGCTTGCCTCAGTGCTGATTTACAATTCAATAGGCGTTCCAAAGCGGACAGACCTCAATGATTTGGAGTATCTTTTGATAATCAGAAGAACAGCTGCTCTATGGTGACTAGCATTATGTTTATTTTGAGACTGAATGAACTTTCTAATATTGCATGTGTGACCTTCAAAGGTCACAGGGGAAGCCAATAGCTCTTGGAGCCAACTCGAACGCACCCGCCAAGCGCACAAATTCAAGACAACAACAACGAGTTGATCCACAGACAATGCTTATTATCGTACTAGCAATATAGCGGTGATAGCGGTTGTGATAATCAAGTGTGGTTCGAACTAAAAGGCAATAACAAAGAAAACAAGAAAACCTATTGTACAATCTACTATATTATCTTATAACAAACTTAGCGAAATCACTTAATAAATTAAACCGATAAAAACAATAAAGCAAAGTAACAATTAAATCCTGTGAAACATAAACAGAAAACGACATGACTTACATTGGTGAAGCTCCTAAATGGTAACTTGGATAGTTGAAAATATCTGGTAGCTTAGACAATAGCACTCTCTTGATAGCAAATAGCAACTAACTTGTCATAATCAGGACACTAATTTATCAAACGTGTAACAAGATCTAACTTACGTAGCATCGATTATTATGTAATTGTTACGGATACCAAAAAACGTGATTCAAATAATGATTAGGCAAAGCGTAAACAATGAAACGAAGGAATAGAGTATAAAAAAGGCCGTTTCAAAACGAACAGCATGGACCTTTCACACGTTTGTTGTTCATAAAGATAATGTTCAAAAATAAATTTTATCAGACTGAAATCACCTATCTCAGTCAATCACAGGGAAAGAGCTTCAGCTGGTCCAGAATTGTTGTAGCTACCTTTTGAAGTCCTTAATAATGGCTTAGCTTTATAGTAAAATTGTCACAGCAAATCAGGATCAAATCGGAAGATGACCCACGCGATAAGGACCTGTTCCGCAACACATTTCCATTCTTTTTCTGGCTTTTGAGAGATGCTCTCCTTAAGCTTCCACCTGACTGCGATGATATCAATCAATTTTTTTCGAAAAGGGTGAGTCGCACAGAGCTTAAAAAGTATACCTTTCTTTTTAGACCAGTCACCTCCCTTTAAACAAGATTATGTTCCTCTTCGCAAGAATTTTTGGAAATAAATAAAATATATAATACATGATTCATTTTGTCAATGTAAAGCTGATACATATGGCTTTGAAAACTAAAAGTAATTATGACATGTGGATGCCAGACTACAAAGGGTTTATTTTCTAAGGATCCTTGGAACATGTTTTTTTTAGGAGGCAGAGAAGTAACTGTAAAGGGAAATAATTAGCATTAAACAGAAAAATTACTATTGTTACCATCATCGTTGTCGTGATCATCATAATCATTGTAACCATAGTTGTTATTTTCATTTATTATTATTATTATTATTATTATTACTACTGTGCTTTTGTGACATGTTTTTGCGTAATAGCACGATTAGATGTAAAATACAACATTTCCTAGTATTTTATCTTAGGTTTTTAAGGGGATGGCAAACGAAAATCAAGAGAAAGTCGCCGAGAGCATTCTGAGTTACTTCCCCGGCTTCGAAAGCTTCGCTCTGCCTCCACCTTCAGTTGATCCCGACATAATACAAGATATTAGTAACAACCGGGACAAACTTAGCCCCAAATTCCGCGAGGGAGTAAAATGCTTTGAGATTCTCTTGAAATCAAATCTGGTTCCTAAAAGAAGTATCAACAAAGGAGAGTACGTTACTGGAGAAGGTTAGTAAGAATTATTTTTATTTACTATTGTTCATCAGAGCGTTTATGGACTAGGTGTCGCAAACCAACAACTAAAGTAATAACAACGGCCAATCAGAGCGAAGGAAGGTATCACAAGAATTAATGCAAACTCAAAGTGCAAGCAGGCAAGCTGCATGAAAAGGGAGTTCACGAAATCAACGTCTGCCGGAGGCTCACCAGTGACATAGATTGTGATTTTCTCGTCACCGAACACGCTGAGAACCCCTTTCTCCTCACTTTGATGCGAACTGTCTCAACAAGTTTTTAAAATCTCAGTGAAAAAAAAATATGGCAAGTTTAAAGGTACTTGACTGAGTCTAACAGCCCACTATTGGACGAAAAGCGATGAGAAAGAATTTTACATATAAATTTAAATGCAAATCAATTGGGAATTTCAAAGATTTGATGAAAGGAAATGCCATGGAGTTCATAATGTAAAAGTCAAAAAATCAAATTAAGGCCTTTATATTTATAAATGAGGGTAGGTTTCTTGAGAAAGTGTGGTACTGCGTCGGTGAGAGAGTATAACAGGGTAATTTAATACTATCAAATAGGCTGATAACGTAAACTGGCCACCGTTAAGAGTTTCAAAGCTCTGAATGGTGGCCAATTCACGTTATCAACTCATTTGATAATAGCAAATAAACTTTTATATTCATAGTTAGGTTTGTGTGAGTATAAAAGAGCCCGCTGACTCTCCTCATGAAGTATTTTTTATGTGAGATTCTCATCATCGGCTTTTACACAAATCACAAAACTATGCAGTTTCACCAGAGCTGAAACTTTGGTGATGTCAACTTATGTTTCTGAGGATTCACCTTACATGAGCCAATGAGTAAACTATGGATTTGTTTCTAAACAGTTGTAAATTATGATAACAGGAATTGTGTGTATCTTTGTCTCTGTAAGAAGAAACAACATTTTGTTTTAAAAACACAAAAAAGAACAAACAAGTAACGTACCAATTTTTTATCTTGTGTATTTAGCCCTTGGAGAGTTGGTCGGGTCATATATAAACGCCATCAACGACCCTAACGCGATTCCAAATGTGACAAACGCTTGGGATTTCTATGTTAAGAACAAAATAGCGGATGTTAAGCAAGATGCCTTGATAAAATACGATCAGTCTATGGCGAAGTTAACACGGCTGCCCTGTGATGGAAAAAAACTTCTAGAGGACCACGATTCCTCGGCAAAGGAGGCCACGGAAAAATTTATGGAAGAAACTGCTGAGCTAAGTTGTACTACCCTAAAAGACGAATTGATGGATCTGACTGTAAGTAAATCGCATCTACCTTGACTAAACGTTTTCTTCGCTTTTTTTTTCGGAATTTTGTGAGATCCAATAGGTTGATTTTTTATAAACTTGAATTAAACTTTAAGAAGCCATATCACTTGTTGTTAGAAAAAGTTTCAGTCTCTCTCGTCATTATTAAAAATTTGCAATAGCATGAGAAATACCGACTTCTCGAAGGAGCACAATTTTACCACAGTTCAACTGAGCGATAATTCGCAACAGTAAACACTACTCATACAATGGTACAAATCTACAGATAGCTTTCTTAGCAGCCTTCGGTTCGTGCTGAATTTGGGAAGTCTTGGCAGTTGGGGAAAGACTCCCCATCTGAGTGAATAGTTATTAAGCCCTGCTAAGACAATTCCATCTAATAGTAGGAGAAAAACTGTGGCCCGCTGGATGAAGACACCAATTTAATTTGCTAAAGTTAAAAAGAAGCCCCTTTACTGCTAGCCTTTAATAGTATAATTTTTCTGAGGCCCTTTAATCAATTTTTTAAAACATTTTTCGGTAGTGATTAGTCGCAAGGAAAATTATATGCTATGGTAAACAACGTCCATCTTGGTAAGTGTGGAAAGTACATACCATGGCTGTGATCGCCGCAGTTAAAAAACTCAATATAGATTTTGTTCCTTTCTCCACTTCAGAAATCGTTTGTCGAAAAACTGAAGCTTTGGAAAGATAAGAATGCCGCCTTAACGCAAACATCTTGCGATGATTTGTTAAAGAAGTTGAAAGGGGAGCTCCTAGATCCAGTCTATAAAAGGGTACGTGGTCCAAACGGTGCCCAAGTAAGCTATAGTGAAATAATCGGTGCTTGGAGCAAAATAAAAGATAGATTCAATTCGGAAGCTGTAGGAGCCAAGGATGTTACAGCGGATGCATTCTTCAAATTCAGTCAGGTAAACTAACACGTAGATGAAGTAGTATCTCTTGAGTTAATTTTTTATGTCCTCCGCCAGTATACTGTGAGTGAGTCAGTGATTTTGGCCGCGAAACTTCGGTCTTCCTTCTCCTCTTACATTGAAACGTATTCAGTGAATGAAATAGATACCTCGGCTTAACCGATTCCCAGAAGTAGGGCATCAGTATTTTGGCCTTAGAGAGTATAAGGAAAACTCCAGTGATAGGCACTGTAACAGACCGGCAGTGGGTTTTCACAATGGAGGGTCAAATTTTCTAATATAACATAACCCTTGTTGTCCTGCCTAAATGAAGGATACTTTCAAAGAATGTTTTAAGGAGGTTCTTTCCTAGATACAAATTGGATTTAGCAGTAACTTTTGGATTTTTAGCCGCTTAGAATAGTTCCAATTTGATTGTTTTGGAACGATTTTTAGCAATCCTCGTAAATTTTAAGTTAAGAATCTATTAAGCATTCTCCATGACCTGTATCAAATTTATCGCTAATGCATTGCTAACGCCATTTTGAGATTCGTAAGTCGGTGAGTTGACGTGTCCATTTTTTTTTCGGCAGACTCACTTGCAAGATGAGATGAAGCAATATGAAGAAATTCTTAAGAAGATGAAAGATTATGATATGAATATTTCCAAAGAAAGGGTCGCAAGGGAGTTTAGAGAAAAAGAACAAAAAAGACTGGAGGTGAGTTGCATTAAAGTTGTAATTAGAAAAATTGCTGTAAATGCGGTTCACTCGTCAGGTGTATGGTTGATCTATCTTTATCAACTTCATCAAACTTATTTAACAAATAATTGTATAAATGTTTTTATTCACTATCACAGTTTAGTTAAGAGAAATGTTTCATAAAACTAAAAATGTTGATCAAAACTAAAAATATTTGCCTTGCAGGCGCTGCTTACTGAAATGACAAAGAAAGAGCAAGATCGTCAGAAAAAGGTGTGCTTTCACGTTAACATGCCATTTACATTCTTCTCTCAAAGTATACGGCAGGCTTCCTGGATGAACCTTCTCTTCCTTTGTTTCAACAGGTTTTTCACATTTTCCGTTCCAGCTGTTATAATGATAATCTTTAGTCGAGTAACGAGACACTGTTAATAATATCAACATATGTTCATCATAAGAACTTTCCCATATTTTCAACATCTCACACAGTCCGAACAACACATTGATTACTTACGGACATGTATTACGCTTTGCAGATGGAAATGCTTGAAAAGCGGCATCAAAGCGAATTGAAAGTAATAAAGAATCAGTCTAGGCAAGATATTGATTCTTTGCGAAAACAAATTGAAATAGTGAAGGACGCCGGTATGAAGGTTCAAAAGGATTTAGGAGCACAACTGGAAGGTGCCATCGAGAGGGAGAAAGAAACAAACGAAGCACTCCGAGCGATGAAACTACAGTATGATCAGAGAGATGCAAACTTTCAAGCTGGCTTCAAAGCTATGATGGAAGAGGTCCGAGAGGCGAGGATAGCAGCCACAAGAAGTTACGAGGAACTTCTTCAACAAATGAGCCTTACAGCAGAAACGGAAACATACACTATTAGCGTTTTAAAGGATACTGTGCAGTTATTGGAGGAACATAGGAAGGAGACTGTAACAATGAGAAGTGAGATTCAAACTTTACGAGAACAGCTAGAAAAAGCTCAAAACCCAGGTTTTATTTCATGGGTTATTCGTAAAATATTTTAGTCAGTGCAGTATTGGTCTTTACCACTTAAATTGTCTGTGTTTGGTATAAACTTGAACCATTACAGCTAACTTTTTTTGGTCACTGCGTTAGTTCTGGACTAGTTGTTAGTTTTAACGCGTTTTATTCATTCAATTATGCATGTGTATGGAAATACACGGGCGAAAATTTGATCTTTAGAGTTTCGTTGATTTTGGTAAAGATTTGTTCGTCAAGCTAATTTTGGTGGTCTAGGAACAAGTGGTTAGTGAAGAATTATACGCTTAGTTGTTAAATACAGATGAACAAAGTGAAAAGTGCCGGCGTTTAGTAATAATTGAACACTTGATAGTGGGTTGCAATGATTCTCACTTGGTTAATCGTCATTTTACCTTTTTTAATAGGAATCGTTATGAGAAAAGAAAAAAAAAGAACATGATGAGAAAGTACGAGAGCAAATAAGACCTAGGGTAAGCCTCAAGTCTTCAGAGATGTGTTTGCTTTTACGCATGTATGTTAACTTGATACAAGGAGCCACTTTCTTGCTTGATTTTTGATCACGAAGTTATGCCGAGTTTTTTCTGGACGTCTGAATTTTAAAGATAGAAAAATAAACTTACTACATTGATCATCCTGGGTGATGATGGGTAATTACCGTAGAGAACACGCCACTGATCAGTTTGTCTTAGCAGTTCCATTGTATCGGGTTTCAAATCGCCTTGTCAGTTTGTAGCTAGTCAACGCTTTATATCAGGAAAAGGAAGTTCGGCTAAGAAACGAACCATTGATTGGTCTCAGGACTTTTTTCCAGGTATGTAAGGTATCGCAGAGTTTAATACATTAGACTTACAGCTTTTGTCGCCGGATATTTGGCCACGATCCGAACGTACAAGGCAGAGTTATACTCGCACCTGCTCGTTGTTCTTGAGGTACTTGCCACCAAAGCAATAAGCTATCCGTGGGCAAGCGTTCGTGGTTTTTATTCCTATTTGGCCAGCAGGTCGAACTACGACGCCTTGATAAGAATCGCCCTCCTGATATACGCGAGATGGCATCTTATAATTTCAAGTATTCAGACTTACGCACCACAAACAGTTAGTCTATCCGTCATATCTTTCACCCCCTACAACTTCTTCATCAGCTTCCACTGCTAAGAGTTGCCAGTCCTGGAACTATAAGGGCTCTTGTTCTTGTGATTCCTCTGCCAGCAACTACACTTGAAATTACTTGTGCAGGATTTGTGAGTCCACCGAGCATCCTATGCTGCACTGTCCGAAGCCTGGCCAGAAACGAAAGATACCCATTCCCGGCCTACAATGATAGGACACGCACAGTATTGGTTTATGGCAATGTACGGATTTTGAAACTGACCCGGACACAGACACGAAATCGGAACACAATTCTCTATTAGAACATGAATCTTTCTCGTCTAGTTTATCGTGTGTGGTAATTGCGCATATTCTTGCCTCGAATTATCCGAAACCGAACGCTTTCGGAGCCAATGTTACCGTTCATTCAAAGCTCAATCTGCCAGTTTGGAAACATCATTTGCCTGATCACTCTGACCGGAACAGTATCATTTTCTTGTAATTTGGCCGGCCTATGAATTACACTTCAGCTGTTCACCTCAATCTACTCGTACCAATCATCCATCCGCACTTACCTACCCAGATCAACATTATCAAAACGTTATCCCTTGCGGGGCCTTTCATCGAGAATCCTCTACCTGATGATCTTGATACATCTTCGTTACAGACAGTCCACCAATAAACGCGATTCCTCTGAACGGCATTTTTCCCTCTTACGGTTAACAGCGGTATTCCGATAGGGTTGAAGCTAAAACGAAGACCCCTAAAAATAAAGCCCTAAGACCCGAAAACGAAGAACCCTTCATGATCTTGATACAGGAAGTGTGCGTCACGCTGGATGACTTCACCGATGAAGACAGTTCAAAGTTTGGCAACTTCTCTGCTCGCAACGTGAGCTGAAAAAAAAACGAAATCGCCGACAATTACGTTAAACGCTAAACGAGAGATAGCTTTATTTCTTTCAATTTCCATATTAAGTTGCCGCAAGAGTCTCTTAATTTATTTTCGAAAAGACTGGTGTCCTTCAAAATTTATAACCGCCGCCCCCTGACGTCCCAATTCGAAAAAAACTTTCGACCCGGTTGACGCAAGTAGTTGTTATGGCGCTGCTCTTCTTTAATACAAGCCAGTCCAACTGCTCTTCATACAAGCCGGTCTAGCAGGACAAATGCCACAATTTAGTTCTCCTTCTTTATTCGGTTTTGGCGAGACGGCTTGCGCAATGTCTGAACCATTCCGTTCGCCAAAGCCTTTAGGCAAAAAGTACGAGCAGGACATTCCACAATTTGAAGTCTTGAATGTAATGAGCGGAAAAGGTTTAAAAAAGACCTTTCTCCAAACATTAAACTAAATACTTGGACATTTTCCCTTGGTCAAATTAAAAGAAGCATCCGACGGGTCATTTCTAGCCGCCAGTTCGCATGCATTAGCAGGAGATTAAAATACTTGAGCATCAAATGTTGTCGTGGTACATTAAGGTGATTAAGCTGCTTCTTTGTTGTGATCAATGAGAACGAACCAGCGTTGATAATCGGCACAAAACTGTTATATGTCGAGACCATTACGCTATGACGATTTCACAATAGAACTTCCGCGAGGGGAGAAGTTAATCGGTAAATTCTATAACATATTTCGTGGTAATTCCAACAAAACCTTACACTTCCCTCGTATCAACATTATCTTTATCTATTTATGATATAATAATGTACATGAAAAAATTACTTAGTTCTGATTGGTTAAGATAAATGCAGTTTTCAGGTAATTCAGTGCAGAAGAGATATAATTCAGTGCAAAAGAAGTAACAAACCAGACATTCTAATTGGTCAATAATCAAAGAAACTCACAGATAGCCAATCAAATGCAAGCCTTGGATGTCGCAAATTAGCGAGCGAAACAATGGCCGGCGTTTTAAGTTGGTTTTCTTTCGCCACCGCAGCTGAAAAACAGCTCTGACAACGAAGACACTTTTAGTGGTCGGTTTGCAATAAGTGGTGTTTAGAGAAGAGAATTGAATTTTATAATAGGCATTCAGGACTCAGATTTCTCTGCATCTCTGTTAAAGTTAGTAAATAGCCAGGATCACAAAAAAACAAGTAATTACTCTAATTGAAATTTTTTTTAAACGAAATGCCATTTGTTGTGCATCAATGGTATAAAAAAAGTAATTCTAAAGAAATTCATTACTAATTGTAGATGCTTTAATATCACATGAATGTTCAAAATATCAAGGGATGAAGATTATAAGCATTAAAGGGATCCCATGAAGTAAAAGTAATTTATTATAGTATTTTACAATAATGATGTTCAATTATATTATTTTAATGAGGACATATGGAATTAGTGATTAACAATATAATCCAGATAATGGTCATTAAATTAATTACGCTTGTCTGTGTAAGCATCTCTAGCAAAGTAGCTGCAGGCAAATCTAACCCTAACTAAGGTTACCTATATCACCTACTCCTAACATTTAACCGAAAAAAGAAACTGGAATAAGCCTGGCCTAAGTTACACTGACAGAAAGAACTGCAATCTGCAGTCAACATATGATACACACAAGTCATCAGGTAATCATATCTAGATGTATATATAGGTGGCAGTAGCTCTTCCTTCATTGTGTTCAGTTACACGATATGATAAATGAAATGATAAATGTGACCATGCGGATGAAGCAGCATGAAAGGTCAGGAGAGATGAAACAGTGTTAAATAGCCTTCACTTGTAAGTACAATATGTGTACTTACTTTTTCTGGGGACTCCGACATAAGTTTGTCCATTTCCTGTTCAGACTGGAAGTAAAGGAGAAAGACTTCAACTCAGTTCTAGTGTGACTGGCAAAGAATGTTCAAACATGTAGTTCATTTTAGAGTGTTACCCAACATACAGTGATTAAGTAGTACTAAAGATTGTTCACAGGACAATAAAGTTCTTTGAATGGCATTATCAAATAATCTGCAGTTTTTTTATTGCAAAACAAGAAACTTGCAGTTTGAATCTAATTCACGGGTTAAAAATACCACTCACCGATACTTGAATAGGTTAATTGATTCAATACCTTTTCTACTAGCCGTAGCACTTCTCCAGGAGATTTTAATAGCCTCTGTTGGAAACACTGTCCGGACTAAGAACAATGGCTGCTTGTGGCTTCTCCCAAGCTAGTCGTACACCTCCTAATATCTCAAGGCAATATCTTAAAAGTAAAACTATTTTTAACATTTCTCTAGTTCACTTGTGGGATATGTTGAAGAGTTTGTTCATGGGGAATTTAAACCTCTTGAAAAAGCTAGCTGTTAACATAAATTTGTGTACATTTGGAGAAGTTTGAGAAACTCAAGAAGTGGGAAGGAACACTCGACTACGTCTCGTGTTTCTCCCTACACTTCTTTCGTGCTTTCGTGCTCTAGCCGCTTCCTTCGTGCTTTAAAGCAGAACAGAGCACAGTCAAGGCTTCTCTATTTGTTAAATATCCATACTTTTTGCATCAAGGGAGTGTCTTCAAGATTAGTTTAATTATACCTTCAGTTAATGGCTCAAAGTTTTCCAGAATAGAAGGTATCTTAAAGTAAAGCAAAACTCAATTTAGTTTTTAACCTGCATATCTCTCCACAGGTGTGGATTGGCTTGACCCCCCCCCCCCATGGATGGTGTACGCAGAATAATCTGAGTGAGAAGGTACACCAAGAGTTTGGCCGCCAAGTGCCTGCATGGCTAGAAACAGACAAAAACACATTTAATTTCCCCTTAATGGTAAGACTAGCTTGGGATCTAGACGAATTATGTAAAAAGACTTAATATCCTTTTTGGTGTTTGGTTACCGTATTTCCTTGAATAAGCACCCACACCCTAATAAGTGCAACCCCCTAGGCTTAGATGTCACATAAGCCCCCCCCTCCCCTTAAATTTCTCAAATTAGTAGGGATACGAGGAAAACCTGTTTCTATGGCCAATTTATTTATTACTCTTTAACCTTCAACTTCAGTTTAATCAGTAAAGAAACGTACTTTCGTTTCCTTTACTGACTTCTATTTATTTCCATCTTAATCACGGAAATACGGTAGTTCATTTGTGTCCCTAAGTCATGTATCTTCTTTTCCATCCCAGAAATCAACGCAAGATATCCAAAATAGGTAATCGTCTGGAAAATCTCCATTTATGATGGCATTATTCAGGTCACTGTATAACCAAGGAATAAGAAAATATGAAATACTTGAGGAATAAGTAGAGTGGGAGATGTGGTAACTGAACAGTATTGATGGGTATGGATACATATGTAGAATATAGAGATATTGAAGAACATTCCCAACACTTATCATCACAACTACCTCAACATGTCTCTCTGCTGAGGAGAGAATGTGTGAGGCCTTTACAGTCACAATCACCGCCATCTCAAGGCCACTTTTAATGTGATAACAAAGCTAAAAGGAGAAAGAATATCTCACTGTTTAAAGCATACCTTTAGGCTAACCGGTCAGAGTAATAAGCCAAATAATGTTTCCAAACCGGCAGATTGAGCTTTGAATGAAAGGTAACATTGAATGAAAGGTAACATTGGCTCCGAAAGCGTTCAGTTTCTGATATTTCGAGGTAAGAATATGCGCAATTACCGCACGCGATAAATTAGACGAAAAAGATTCATGTTCTAACAACGCATTTTATCGTGATTTCGTGCCTGTGTCCGGGTCCGTTTCAAATCAGTGCACTGCAATAAACCAATACTTTGCGTGTCCAGTCGTTGTAGGCCGGGAATGAGCATCTTTGGTTTCGGGCCAGGCTTCGGGCAGTGCAGCATAGGATGCTCGGTGGACTTGAAAACCCTGCACAAGTGATTTGAAGTGTAGCTGCCATAAGAGGAATCACAAGAACAAGAACCCTTATAATTCCAAGACTGGCAACCCTTAACAGAGGGGACTGATGGAGAAGTTGTAGAGGGTGAAAGAGTGGAGGGGTTAGGCTTAGTGTTTGTCGCGCGTAAGTCTGAATACTTGAAAAAATAAGACGTCATTTCGCGTCTATCAGAAAGGCGATTCCAATCGATACACTTGAACAACTAAGATGAACTGATCAGGGGCGTGTTCTCTGCGGTAATTAATCATTATCACTCAGGGTGATCAATGTGCTGAGTTTATTTTGCTATCTTTCAAATTCAGACGTCCAGAACAACTCGGCGTAACTCCGTATTATACAAATTAAGCGTTTTTGCCCTCCTAATTTTTCATAATTTTCTGGTTTTTTCCTTTCTCAAACAATTCCTTTTAAAAAAGATAAAATGACGATTAATCATGCGAGAATCAATGCAACCCACCATCAAGTGTTCAGTTATCACTAAACGCTGATACTTTTTACGTAGTTCATATATATTTAACAGCTAGGTGTTCAATTCTTCACAAACAACTTGTTCTTAGACCACCAAAATTGGCTTGGCAAACAAATCTTTTTCAAAAACAACGAGACTCTAAAGGCTAAAACTTTCGCCTTGGTTTTTCCATACACATTCATTATCCAATGACGAAAACGCATTAAAACTAACAACTAGTCCTAAGCACCTCGGACATAACGCAGTGGCAAGAAAAGTTAGCTGTAATGGTTCAAGTTCAAACCAAGCAGAGACAACTAAAGTGGTAAAGACCAATACTGCACTGACTAAAATACTGTACGAATAACCCATGAAATAAAACCTGGGTTTTAAGCTGTGTCTAGCTGGTCACGTAAATTTTGGATCTCATCTCTCATTGATGCAGCGTTCTTCCTACGTTCCTCCAATAATTGAATCGTATCGGTTAAAACCTCTATAGCTTGACCTTCCATCTTTCCTGTAAGGTGTATTTGCTTAAAAAGTTCCTCGAAACTTCTTTTGGCTGCTTTCCCCATCTCTAATATCTCTTCTTTCTGATCAGACATGAGTTTCATCGCTTGGAGTGCTTCGTTTGCTTCTTTCTCCCTCTCGATGGCACCTTCCAGTTGTGTTCCTATATCCTTTCGAACCTTCATGCCGGTGTCGTTCATTATTTAAATTTGCTTTTGCAAAGCATCAATATCTTGCCTAGATTGTTCGTTATCAATTTCAATTCCCTTTCCCGTCGCTTTTCAAGCATTTCCATCTGCAAAGGATAAATCATGTCGGTAAGTAATCAATTTGCTGTTCGGACTGTCTGAGATGTTGAAAATATGAGAATGTTCTTACGACGAGCATGTGTTGATATTATTTACGGTGTCTCACTACTCGACTAAAGATTATCATTGCAACACTTACACGGAAAATGTGAAAAACCTATTGAAACTAAGGAAGATGGGGTTCATTCAGAAGCCTGCCGAATACTTTGAGAGAAGAATTTAAACGGGATGTAAACGTGAAAGCACACCTTTTCTTGACGATCTTGCTCTTTCTTTGTCATTTCAGTGAGCAGCGCCTGCAAGGCAAGTATTTTTAATTTGGTAGACATTTGAAGTTTTATCAAACATTTTCTCGTTACTTAACTGTAATAGTGACAATTATTTGTTAAATAAGTTCCATCAAGTTGATGAAGATAGTTCAACCATATATCTGACGAGTAAACCGCACTTACAGCTAATTTTCTATTTATAACTTTAATGCAACTCACTTCCAGTCTCCTTCGTTCTTTTTCTATATACACCTTTGAGACTCTTTCTTTGGAAAGACTCTTATCGTAATCCTTCATCGCCTTGAGAATTTCTACGTATTGTTTCATCTTATCTTGCAAGTGCGTCTGAGAAAAAAAAATGTACAAGTCGACTCACCAACTTATGAATCTTAAAATGGCGTCAGCAATGTATTAGCGATATCATACAGGCCATGAAGAAATTCTTAGAATTTAATAGATTCTTAAAATTTACGAGGTTTGTTTAAAAAATTTCTAAAAAAATAAAATTGGAATGGCTCTAAGCGGTTGAAAATCTAAGAGTTACTGCAAAATCCAATTTTTATCTACAAAAGAAACTTCCTTAAAACATTCCTTGAAAATATCCTTCATTTGTTTGTTTGTTTGTTTTTTTTTTTAACATTTTTTTTATTTTCACTTAAAGCACAAATACTAGAGTAATACAAACAAATACAAAGTTAATTACACTAACGCTTACGCTACTCACTAACACTAATTACGAAATACTGCGTTACATTACATTCACAGTCGGCTAGATTTAATTTATGTTGTGGTTATATAATAATATAAACCTAATTTGTACAAATACTTCTACATCAAATTCCTTTTTTGGTAGAACGACTGTATAAACCACTGCGTCTATAACTGTTAATACCAGATACTCATCTATTTCGTTACAATAACATGTTTTCCCATTTTTTATGATGAATAGATTCTTTTTTATTCTTTTTTGCAATCAAAAATTCAAATTTCCGAGTTTCAGATGTTTTAGCCTTCAGTAAGGAAACAGACGGCTTGATATTTTTACAACGACATGAATAAATGGTATATTTTCCAAGAATGATTATGTGATTTAACAAACAATTCCCAGGGTTATTATCGGAAATACCAAAGAGGATTGTTACCTCATCAAGCTTATCAATTTTCATATTGTAAGTATTTAACCAAGAAATAACCGAAAGCCAAAAGTTTTTAGTGTAGGTACAGCTGATTAGAAGATGCTCAAGAGTTTCTTCGTGATCTCCACAAAAGGTACACTTCGGAGAAGGAACCAAATTCATTTTATATAGGATTTTATTGGTGTAGAGAATACGATTTAAGATTTTGTATTGAAAGGCTCTCGTTCTGGTGTCAAGAGTGACTCGACCCGGCAATAGATAAATATTTTTCCAGTCTATATTACCTGAAATATTATATACGGAATTAAACCTAGATTGGGCAGTCGGAGAAATCTGGATTCGTTTGACCAGGGTGGAATAGATTGATTTTGAAGTCATTCTAGTTATATCTTGAACATCGTCTGAAACAGTTTTGTCAATTCGGTTGTTATTATTCTCTCCAACGTTAAGGAGCTGTTTCCAGTTAGGCGGAATGGCAGAAAAAATGCCTTGTAGGAGTAAGTAATCTGACAAGGAGAGATTTTTCTCTCTAAAAGCGTCCCACCTTTTTAATTTTGAGTCATTTGAGAGAATATCTCCAAGTTTCACAAAACCTGCTTCTTTTATTCTCTTGTTGTATATTGATTTCTTGTTAATCAAGAGGTTCTGGTTGTTCTAGATAGTCACATTTAAAACGTCCTGTTTTGTAGCTATTATATCCTTCATTTGGGTGATACAACAAGATTTATGATATATTTGAAATGTTGACCCTCCATTGTGACAACCCACCCCCGCTCTCTTATTACAGTGCCTATTAGTAAAGTTTTCTGTATGCTATCTAAGGCCAAAATATTGATGCCCTACCTCTGCACTTTGAGAATCGGTTGGGCTGAAGGCTGAAGTATCTAATTCGTTCATTAAATACACTCAATGTAAAAAAAGAAGGAAGACTGAAGTGTCCCAGCCAAAATCACTGACTCACTCGCAGTATACTGGCGGAGGACAAAAACAATGAGCTCAGGAGATACTTCTTCATCTTCATCTACGTGTTAGTTTACATGAATGAATTTTAAGAATGCATCCGCCCTGACATCTTGAGCTCCCACAGACTTCATAGACCGGATATAAAAGCTCCCATTTCAACTTCTTCAACAAATCATCGTAAGATGTTTGCGTTAAGGCGGCATTCTTATCTTTCCAAAGCCTTAGTTTTTCAGCAAACGATTTCTGAAGTGGAGAAAGGAACAAAATCTATATTGAGTTTCTTCACTGCGGCGATCACAGCCATGGTATGTACCTTCCACACTTACCAAGACGGACATTGCTTACCATCGCATACCATTTTCCTTTCGACAAATCACTATCGAAAAAAGTTGAAAAAAGTTGATTAAAGGGCCTCAGAAAAATGACATTATTGAAGAGTAGCAGTAGAGGGGCTCCTATTTTATTGCGGCAAACTACATTTCGTGCCTCCATCCTGCCGGCTACAGTTTTTCTCCTACTTCTAGATGCAATTGTCTTAGCAGGGCTTAATAACTATTCACTCAGATGGGGAGTCTTTCCCCCAACTGCCAATACTTCTCAAATTCAGCGCGAACAGAAGGCTGCTAAAAAAAGCTACCTACGTAGGTTTATACCGTTGCATGAGCAGTGGTTACTCTTGCAAATTATTGCTCAGTTAACCTGTGGTAAATTGTACTTTCGAGAGACCTAGGTCCGTGTTTTTTATGATATTGCAAATTGTTAAATAATGATTACTAGAGTCACTGCAACTTTTTTCCATAGTAAATTATATAGCTTCTTAAAGTTTAATTCAAGTTTATAGAGAATCAACCTACGAGATCCCACTTGTAAAATTCAGAAAAAAAATTCGAGAAAAGGTTTAAATTAAGGTAGGTGCGACTTACTTACAGTCAGATCCATTAGTTCGTCTTTTAGGGTAGTACAATAAAGCTCAGCAGTTTATTCCATAAATTTTTTTGCGGCTTGCTTTTCCGTGAATTCGTGGTCCTCCAGAAGTTCTTCTTCAACACAGGGCAAGCGTGTTAACTGTACCATAGACTGATCGTAATCTCTCAAGGCATCTTGCTTAGCATCCGCTATTTTGTTCTTAACATAGAAATCCCAAGCCTTCGTCACATTTGGAATCGCGTTAGGGTCGTTGATGGCGTCTATATATAACTCGACCAACTCTCCAAGGGCTAAATACACAAGACAGAAAATTTGCACGTTGCTTATTTGATTGTTCTGTTTTTGTTTAAAATACAAAATGTTGTTTCTTCTTAACAGAGGTACAGATACACACAATTTCTGTTATCAAAATTCACCTTTGTTTAGAAACAAATTGACAGCTTTCTCATTGGCTCATGTAAAATTTGAGGTGATTCCTTAGAAACATTAGTTGTCATCACCAAAGTTTCAGCTCCGGTGAAACTGCACACGTTTGTGATGTGTGCAAAAGCCAATGATGAGAATCTCACGAGGAGAGTCACCGGGCTCTTTTATACCCACACAAACCCAACTATGAACATAAAAGTTAATTTGAAACTCTAAAAGATGGCCAACGTTACGATGGCCAATTACATCATTATTTTATTTGATGATATTAAATTACCCTGTTATACTCTCCCACCGACGCAGTACCATACTTTCCTTAGGAACCTACCCCCTTTGTGAATATAAAGGCTTCATTTTAATTTTTTTACATCATTAACTCCATGAAATTTCCTTTCATCAACACTATGACATTCCCATCTGATTTGCATTTATTTTTTTGTCTTAAAAATGAATATTTGATAAATAATAATAATAAATATTTAATATTTTATTTAATATTTGTCTTACAAATAATATTTAAATTTCTTCCTCATCGCTTTTCGTCCAAAAGTGAGCTGTGAGACTCAGAGTGGCTAATCTACTCAATTTCAGTTAAATTCCTTAAAACTTGCCTTATTTTTTTTTTCTGAAATTTTAAAACTTTATTGGAGACAGTTCGCATCAAAGTGAGGAGAAAGGGATGCTCAGCTTGTTTGGTAATGAGAAAATCACGATCTATGTCACCGGTGAGTCTCCGGCTGACGTTGATTTGGTGAACTTCCTTTTCTTCGCACTTCCTGTTGCATTGGGTTCTTTTCATACATTTCCTGGCTTAGATTGACCGTTTAAGCTCTTGACACCTTGTCCATAAGCGCTCTGATGATAGTTATCAGATTTGATAACCACGTGACGTCATAACATGGCGACCACTTCGGGAATCGAAGATTTCGTACCCAATTCGAATTGTTCCCTGTTTATTCGTTATCACCCGCCTTACGTGCTAATAATTTTATCGGAAACGAGTAAATGGATACTAATCTTCGCGTGTACTCAAGGTGGTGATCATCGAGGAGTTATAGAGGCGAAATCTCGAGCACAGAATTAATAGGGCACTTGAAATGACATTTGATTGACGTATTTTTACAATTTCGCCTTAAAATTCAGGTTGGTAGATGAATTTTTTCCGTAATCAAAAAACCTATGAAGCTTTCTTCAATGGGGTGGTCTTGATTTATCGCTTATTAATCAGTCACCAACCGTCATTTTGTGTTTTCGAAGATGCTTTTTTAGTCAGGAAATAGCCAGGATAAAAAAGGTGATCTTCAAGATCAGGGAAAAGTCAGGGAAAATTTATGTTTTTGAGGTTTTTGTTTTTGTTTTTTTAAACATACATGTTAGCGTATGGAGAGTGGTATGTTGCTCGCACCAATCAGATCGTTTAGGGTATGTATCTCGCACCATTCAGATCGCCGCATCAGGGTATGTATCTCGCACCAAGAGCGTCGTTTTTGTTCAAATTTCAACGAAGTAGTGGGGGATTCAGAAATAGAATAATCTTTTAGAATGAGAAATGTTGGCTTTTCTGTATTTTTAACGTGTATTTTACTGCACTTTATGAGAAATGCGATACTACTGGACAGATGAAAGATATAATATTACCTTTAGTAAACGTGTTACTCATGCTGTGAAAATGGTGGATAATTGTTCGAGAGAAAATGGTTAATGTTCCTTCACGACGAGAGTGAGAGGAGAAATTTTGAGTCAAATGTTGCTTGGGGTGTTAATGACTTGCACCAGACATTTTGATTTGAGCAGTTCTTTAACTGGAAGCTGTGTTGCAAGATTCATGATTTGTTGAGTGTGCCGATTATATTTTTCTGGATTGGTTTGCTCGGTGATATCTCTGGATGAATGTCTGATAAAAATTAACCATGGACGATTTTGTGTATATTTTCGATGCCTGGAAAAAGTGATCTTGTGGAGTCGTTTGTTTTTGGCCAAAGGCGAATTCAGATACCATCTTTTGTACGTTTATTTGATTTTGTTATCTGGAATGAATGGTTTACAGAAGTAAGTTAATATGATGTGATCTACTAACGTTGAAAATATATCAAGTCGAAGGAACAGGTTTGGTTTCGGAAGGTATTTTTAAATATTCAATAGTCACATCTCATTTACATCTACATCTACTTTTATTAAGTTGGTAAAATCTTTACAGACATCACATCAACCAACTCGCGCGCAAAGTGAGAAGACTATGTGAAGGCTTGAAATTATAGCCCATAACTATACGAAATAGCAGTAACTCATCAAGCCGAAAAAATTTGGTTGTACGACCGTACAAGGTGCTACTTTTAGCATGCGCGGCCAACTGTACCACGGGCACTGTGTTAGCCATCACGTAATGGAAGGGCGAGGGAGAAGATAATGCGCAGGCGCGATTGCGTGCGTAACTTGGAAACCCCATTAGTGTGCGCCAAGAGACACCGTCAGATAACGATAAAGTGCGCATACTCGAACGTCGAGCTGCAGTGTATTCCAACTTTTTTTTTTTACCAATCGTCGTCTGATACTAGTTTCAGTTCTTAATTCAACTGATCACGTTCGGTTATTCATTGACCATGGCATTCATAGCCTAAAAACTCTTACGCCGGTTCATCGCTCGAATATTATTGTATAGTGTTCGTATTCTTCAAGTTATTTCCTGTCCTTTCGTTTGAAAGTTTAATACAGTCGCGATGTTATGGGAAAAGAAGTTATCTTACGTGTTTTGTTTAGCCTAGAAAGTTTTCAATTGGTGTCGAACGGCGAGCGCAAGTTTCTACTTTTTTTTTTTCTTCAGTTAATTATCGCAGGATTTACTCTATTCATTTGAAAAATTTGCGCTTTGCCGAAGATGTGTTGTTTTACCTTAAGAACGAAGTAATGGCCTTTCCCAGAATTAAAATAAAATGGGATCGAGTCAGCGATGTTCATGTTTACATTAAGTCTAACGCGGTAATTTGATTTTGACGATATTGTCATGTGAGAACCCGTCAAACATCTGAGAATCAAATTACCGAGCGCAAATGTATGGTACAAACAAACTCACGGGTAAAATAGAGATAGTCCTGCAGCGGGATGAGTGAATTTAATTTTTTGGTCGTCGTACTTTTCAGCGCTATGTTTTCGAACTTCAGGAAATGGTTTGTGTCACAAAACATGGAGCTACTTTCTCTTCGCTCAACATCTCGAGGCGTTATGATGAACATGCTTGCGACACGATGTTTTTTTCCTTATGCGGGAAACTGAAGAATTAATCTCTAAAATTGGTAGTCATCACATTTTGCAAGAAGCGTCCGAGAAACTAGTTGATGTCATGTGCTCCTCCTGAATCTTGAATTTTATTGCCCCGGTTTTTTTCAGAAACCCTATTTTATATCTCCGTGTGACAGCTAATGATTAAATTTGAGAATTTGGAATTGGATCAACCAATAACCTCAAATTGATATTTGTCTTAATTCTTGTTACTTGTCTGCTTTATATCATACTAATAGTTTAAGGAGAAATTCTGTCTAGGTTAACAGTGGGACCTAACCCTTTAATTCCCAAGATCTCATTAGTAATTCTCCTTACTATCTCATAAACAGTTCTTGTGATGTTAGTTTGGAGGATTTAGTATTGGATCATCTTATAATCCCCTAACTGATATTTTTCTTTATTCTTTTAGCTTGTCTGCTTGATATTGTTTTGAGAGGAGAAATTCTTTCTTAGTCACATATGGGAGTTAAAGGGTTAAAATGGGGGATTTCAACATATTGTTATGATTAAAATATTCTTATGCTTTCAAATGTACCGGTAACAAAAAAAATGTGATGAGAATCTGATGATTGAAACACTTGCAGTAGAAAAACCTGTTGCTGGTAGCTTATGTCTTTAATGCCTAAATTTTCATGGGAAATGCTTTTCTTTGAAAGTGGAGATACAGAAGTTTTTAAAAGCTGATAGAAGTGAGCTGTTTGCAATTAATAAAAGGCAAATTGACAATCACACCTTAATGCTTGACATGCTTCACTCATACATGGCATTTGCGTGTATCTACCATTGTAGAGGTGTCTTTGAAAAGGTTTCTTTTTTTTTTACACAATGTAACGTCCAGGGTGGAAGAGTAGAAGACCACAGTATGATATTTATTTAGCATTGGTACTTAAAGCAATCATATATTCAAGCAGTACTCTACATATATATATCTGATTACATGATGTCTTTAACTCTTTGCACTCCAATATCAGAATGCATATTCTCCAAACTCTTCTCTACATATTTCCTTATGTGCTGGCAAGGAGAATTTGTTTAACAATCAGAGTTCTTCAGTTGATTATCATTTCCTTTATTCTCATGACCTTAATTTGTGACTCAGGGGTGATATTGAATGGAGAAATTAGATGCCAGTCACTTTCAGGGATCAAAGTGTTATTAGCTGTACACATTTTCATTTTTGCTCCTCGCATTTGTTGGCAACAATAGCTAAGATTGTTAGGAAAGCAAACAAACAAATGAACAGAAGACAGTGAAATGAGGGAAACTGTAAACTTTACCAGGTGATAGAAAAACATCACAGAATACTTGAACAGGGGAAACTTGAATTATGCTAGCTAATTTCCTCTATTGCCATTTACTTTGTTATTATTTATTACTTTGTAATAGTGTTTATATGTTGAGGAAATGGTTGGGTTGAAATATAATACAAAGACTTGCCAGAAGATAGTCAGATGAAAACTTTTTACAAATCTGTTTCAATAAAATGTTTTACTGCATTTCATTTCAACATGTTGTAACAACTCCACCTCCCAGTAAATTCAATTATTTGCAAACATAAGAAAATACCATCTAAAACTTTTCAACCTATTTAATGTGGCCAATATCAACATCAACTCAACTTCTAAACTGAAGAGAAAACTTGATTGATGTTTGGAATTGATTTCTGTGATGTAAAAATGAAATCCAGGTATTAGCTCAAGTTTTCTTAAAGACACCCGCTTTACATGCCGTTACAGCAGGGGTTATCGAATTAAATAACAGAAAAATCTCAAAAAGATGTCGTTTATTTCCAGCCAGAGGACAGTCATGAAACATGAAACAAGAGTAGCCAAAAGCAAAAAAGTTTTAAAAAATTACACAGGTTCAAACAGGAGTTGAAAATTACTTTTTTTTTAATTTTCCACGCTAAACAGAGGAGGTTGAAACGTTGGAGAAAAACGGTAGGGTAGGCAGTCATACCTGGCAAATTAAAGAGAGAAGATATAAGAGAAGCCCGTACGATTCTGGCGTATTGTTTTACTGACTCACTGTGCTCACTGCACGTATACACCTCAATCCACCAGTAATGTCTCAACGCAAAGTGGTTTACTGTCGTTTCTTTCAAGTTTGGCTTATTTTCCCAGACCGAAATTATAAGTCACGCTTAATAGAATATAATTTCAACTGATACTGACATCATGCACCTCATCTGAAGAAGAAAACACTCCCTGTCTTCGAAAATTTGGTCACAACATCAAGAACAACAACGAAGGTCGTAAGCTGTCTGAAGATATCGCTGACTAGCATGTGTGTAGTTGTAAGAACTTCGTCCCCAGGTTCCAGACTTCGTCAATTCTTCATTCTTCCCCACCTCCCCACCCCCCGAACTGGTCTTTCAATCCATTGAAGAAACTATTCTACAGCCAGTGCTGAAGAATTTTATTACAGGTTTTATTCCGTGTAACGTAGGGCTGGAAAATAAACTAATAAGAGCTCCGCTTTTAGGCTTGGCTAAATCTATATACTATTATGATCGATTCTGATCAAGAAATGGGCTAGGAATATTCCACAATAGTGCAAATAATCGTGAAAGCCGATCGCGGAAAAGCGATTGCGTGACGCTCCTTAAGTTGTAAGATGTTATCACATACCAGACGAAAAAACTCTTTAGATTCTAAGTCATTTCGCATTTAATACCCACTCTGCAGTCTGCAGTCTACATTTTGTACGTAGTCTACATTTTGTATCCGGTCTGCAGTCTGCATTTTGTACTAACAGGTATCCATGGCACCACTACAATATATTTTTGGTTAGTTATTCGCACAACACACATAATCTACCACAAAATACCTGGGTGAGTTAGTTCGAAATTTTCGTTCTTTTCCGCGTTAATACTCTTCTTTCCTTTTGTAAAAAATGTAGACATTACTTACAATGTTTCAAGTAATCCACCCACCCCAAAAAGATAACTCTGGCATGTATAGAATGGCTATGTTTTAGAGAAGTCAGGCAAAATTGGATTTTTTTTGTTACCAATTCAAGTTCCTTAGTAGGTTTTATAGACATGAAATGTAAATAAACCAAATTGGGTTTCAATAGACAAAAATACAATTTGGTTTTAGTGGTACATACTGTAGCATATCCACTTGACGACTCTTCCTTCATCTATCAAATTCCAGATTTAATTGTAATTTAGAAAAAGCAGACAACAAATGTACTGGAATGTTAAAACATTATTTGATGAAAATTAACGAGATGCAGGTGTTAAGTTTCCAACAAAATCAATCCTTTTTCCATGTTGTGTCAAGGAACTATCCATTCATCTGCATGAATGTGACACACTGAAAGCATACATAAATGGGTGGAGAGGATGGCTGTGAGGGTGTTTGAAGGTCATCAATAGACCCAATTTAGTAAATAGTAAAACTCGTCAGGGAAATGTTGCGTTTTTCTGGGAATTACATAAACCTATGACTGTAGCAACCATGTTTTATATGCATGTATTTCTTTGTCAGTATTAACTGAAAAAGTCTTATATAATATAATGTGTAATAATATATAATCAGAAATATGTTATTCTTTTGGAAGGTCTGGATTTTTTTTAGATTATTTTATTTTAACATAATCTAAATATCTCTCGAAATATATTTCAGAGGAAGCCCCACTTAGCACCTTTTCCTTAGTGGCATAGTTCAGAACAATTAACTTTACACTAAGGAAAAACACACAAGATTTGCTACTTGAAAACATTGTGGAAGTATAAAAACCAAGAACTGAAGTTTGAATAACACTTTCGTATACAACGGGACAAGTAGAGTTAAGTGGAAGGACGTCAAGAACGCTACTAAATTGGAGAATCTCTGGGGAGCAGAGAAAAAAACTCCACTTATCCCTAATGAAGATGTCAAGGCTGAGCTTCAAATTAAGCTTAATTATTTTTTAATTAAGGAAATGTCCTCTTTAATAAAAATAAATTTTCACTTTGCCTTCAATTAAGCGTGTGAATGAACTTAAACAGGATATGGATTCTGAGCAGGAACTCTTATTAAAGATCATGATCATGAAGTTTACGTTTAAGTCACGGTACATTTCCTTCTGTATATTTGGGTCATCATTTCCATCATTGTTACTGTTACATGAAACTGTGTAACTGCTTCGACCATGCATTGGGTGCTAACATTGCACTTCATTTTGCTTGAGTTATGGGTCTATGCTTTAATTTCTTGCTTCAAAAGCTAGAAATAATCTGACCATTTTCGTTATGGCCTAACAGTCACTTTATTTGTTTATTTGAAAATAATGTATCTTCTTCAATGGCCTGGATTGAAATAGTTTTATGTGATTATTCCAAAATTCTGAATTAGATAGTTTTCAACATTGCAAAAGGTATTATCGAACAAATTTTCTTACTGTTTCCCATACGTTAACTTATCAGTGGGAGTTTTTTTTTCCATGTTTTGACCGACATAAAGGTTATTTCATTTTGTCGTTAATTGAGTTTCTTTCATCGAAACGAAGTCTTGCACTAGGCTGGGGCATTTTGTAGCCTTAGTTGTTTTAATTCTCCGTTGTTGTTCCTTGACGTCGGAGTATGACCAAAGAGGTTAGCAAGTGAAGGGGACATTTTTTTTTTATTGGCTCTGCTGTGTCTTGAATAGATTCAATAGCTGGTTCACCATTCTTTTTTTCCTTTTCCTTTTGACTTGCGTATTCTTGGGCAAGAAAAGGTTTCAATTTGCACTTTGTTAATTCACCTTGAAGCTTAGCGTTCGATTGCAGCGAGGAAGATCTCGGAGAAGTGGAGAGAAGGCTTTCACTGGTCAAATTAGAAATGAAAGGGGATGGAGTGGATGCTACCGTGAATGTACGTTAAGTGCGTAGCAGTATTGATTTTCCAATTTCCTACATGTTTCGAGAGGCTTTTATTTAGAGCAATCCTTCCATTTACAAGGTTTCACGCTGGAAATCCGCTATGGGCTGAAGTATTAATATCACTGAAAATATATTTTTTCCTTTTCGCCTCTGGGCTGAAATAGTAGCATCACTGAAATTATTTTTTTTCCTTCGCACAGTTTATAGTTGGAACGTATCGGGGCGAGCGCTGAAATACCTGGGCGCTTCAGCGTCCACCAAGTTAGCAAAATAATACGAATGAAAATTAGAAAGACTGAGAAAAAGAAGAAGAAACCATTTTATTTTCAAATCAGATAACGGTCCAGAATTTTTATCTTTCCATGTGCACAATTTATGCTACTATCACAAGTTCCAATCAAAAACAATCGGTTTAGTACAGCCAGTGTGGTTCGGCTGTCTGACGCCATGTTGAATACATTACTGTTGCCCCAGTAACATGTCACCTGAAAGAGAATCTGAGCATTAATTGGTTACTGTTTTGTTTTGGTCTGGGTCATCAAATTTGATAACTATCCTGAATTAGTAAATAAAAATAATTCTTACTAACCTTCTCCAGTAACGCACTCTCCTTTATTGATACTTCTTTTAGGGACCAGTTTTGATTTCAAAAGAACCTCAAAGCGTTTTACCCCCTCTCGGAATTTGGGGTTAAGTTTGCCCCGGTTGTTACTAATATCTTGTATTATGTCGGGATCAACTGTAGGTAGAGGTAGAGCGAAGCTTTCGAAGCCGGGGAAAAAACTCTCGGCGAATTTCTCTTGGTTTTCGTTTGCCATCTCCTTAAAAACCTAAGACAAAGTACAAGAAAATTTTATACTTTACATCCAATCGTGCTATTAGGCAAAATAATAAAAAAAAAAATGAAAATTACAACTATGATTACAATGATAATGATAATGAACACGATGATGATGATGATGACGATGATGACGATGATGATGATGATAATGAAAATAATAATTTTTTTATTCTAATTATGCCCCTTACAGGTTACCTGTTTGCCACCTAAAAAAGACTTATACCAAGGGTCCTTCCTGAAGTCTTAGTAGAGTGACATCCACAGGTCAAAGTTACTTTGAGTTTTCAAACCCATATGGATCAGTTTCACATTGACAAAATAAATCATGTATTAGCTATTTTATTTATTTTCCAAAAATATTTTTGCGAAGAGGAACCTAATCTGGTTTAAGGGAGGTGACTGGCTGGTCTAAACAGAAAGGTATACTTATCGAGCTCTGTGCGACTTACCCTTTTCGAAAAATATTGATTGAGGTCTTCGTACTCTGAAGCACGCCTCAGGACAACGTCTCTCAGAAGCCGAAAAAAGAATGGAAATATGTTGCAGAACAGGTCCTTATCGCGCGGGTCATCTTCAAATTGGATCTTGATTTGCTGTGTCAATTTTCCTATGAAAGTAAGCCAATATTAAGGATTTCGAAAGGTAACTTTAACAGTTCTGGATCAGCTGAAGCTCTTTCCCAGTGAATGACTTAGATAGGTGATTTTATTCTTCTTAAGTTTCTTTTTGATTATCATCTCTATGAATTACCAACATGTGAAAAGTCCTCGGCAATATTAAAAAGTCTCTTAATAAACTTAATTCTTGTCATCATATAGAGTGGCTCTTCTTCTGATTATCAAAAGATACTCCAAATCAATGAGGTCTGTCCGCCTTGGAATGCCCACTGAATTGTAAACCAGAACTGAGGCTAGCAAAACAGTCAGAGTAAAGATTCAGTGATCATCTTTATCCTCTGCAGGAACAGCATTGATTCCTCCTGAATCCGACAGGATTACTTTAAAGTCCCGTCCTCGCGAGTCCTGTAAAGATCAATGAGTAATTCTTGTTAAAAATGGTGGCGCGTAAGCCCCCACTAATTAAAGTAGCGATTGCAGTGTTGATACGAGTTGAAAATTACTTTTGATTAGGAGAAAAGTACTTATGGAACAAGGACGAAAACGTTGCCATATTTACTATTCATAAAAATATTGAGATGGCTGAATCCCATTTGTTCGAAATGGTGATTGTTCATCATGGTCGCAGCCCAGATCAATGTAACCTTCTCCGATATTTTCAATAATCTTATAATACCAGTGTATTGGACTATATATTATTTGTCTTTTCAAACCTGGAACGGTTGAGGGGAAATCCACATCCAAATTCCTGTAATTTCTGCGTCCAGAAAATGACCGACAGGAAACGCTTCCATCTGACCAAATACTTCATCAATTATGTAAGACTTTCCTGCTCTGTACGGACCAACAATGGACACAACGCACACTTGCTCTGGAAAGCAAATTTTCTTGTGTTTTGAAATTCGCTATCCTAAAGGGAATGATTGAATTTGTTCATTCCACTCGAATTTCAGCCTCTAATTCTGCTTGGAATACAGCCTACTACAATTCCTGCTGGAGGCGGGAGATCGCTCCAAGTCATTTAACGCAAAAGCTATGATTTAGGTAAGAAGGCGTTTCTTGTAAATGCACAAACGAGATTACAACTTACTGGCCAATGTCAAAGTCTCCGTAAGAATCGAACATCTTTGGAAATTAAAATTTTCAACCCCCCTTCAAATTTTGCATGCAGTTAGGCACTCGGGAGGGATGCACAAAAATGCCCTTTTGAAAGGTTGCAGCACTCTTGTTGCCATGGTAACAACGGCTGCTAGTTGGAGGCCTGGGGCCTCATTCTCATACAAAAATGTCGCAAAAAAAAGAATGAAATTTTTTTTCTCTATCTTAAGCTAAGTACACAATTACAAATTGGCACTTCAACCATACATAGTAACATCATTCTTCTTCACGTTGATACATTTCATTTTCCCTGGGAGTGAATGTGAATACACCAATACATTATTTATCTCGGTACAGTTTCGGTCTTTTTTTGTTGTCGGGTAAAACAGGGAAAACGTTTATCTGAATTTCTCCAAAAGTACACCGATTCTGGAACTGAAACTACTCACCTAGCTGGTTATAATATTCTAGTTTTTAAATATGTAAAAATCTCTGCGGGCCTGCCTCCACTTTTTATAGGAGCAGTTCGCGAAAAAAGCTCAAAATCAGACATTGCATTATTTGGCGATGTTTACATATAATGTTCTTAATAACAAATGTTTCAGACAAATGAAACGTGCGAGGCTTTGAAAGAACGTTATCTTATGAGCAATATCCCGAAGAGAAATCTCGCCTCTGGTTGTCATCTTTTAAAAAAAAAATTGATCAACCTTCATGGAGGACAACTCGACGTAACTACAAACATTTACCCCAAAACGTGTGCATATCATCCAGATTCCGAGTGCTGTACCCTCTTTCATGGGAATTTGAGCAATCCGAAACTACTTGTATGTCATTTGAAACATGTTGAAGTCAGCTGATCTACACGAAACTATCCTCACACCAGTCATTTGCCATAAACATGTACGTTATCACGATGGCGTGACGCTGTATTTCTCCGTGAAAGAAGACGAGAAATGGATATTTTTAATAGATGTCAGCACATTTCCGCTTTCTGAAATAAAAGCAATCAAAAAAAAAAAAGTTCGATTGAACGCTAGTTAACAATGAGAATGTGAGTATAAATCGTAACTTGTCAGCGGCAGTACTACATATAAGACCTAGTTGTAACATTAGAAATTTGAACGACATAGGCATCTCCTTGTGACAGGAGCTAAGATATTTCGAATCATCTGAAAACTGTCAGAAAACTGATAGAAAATTTGCATAAGATATAATAAGTAGGGACTTATCACCGCCGCAGAGCAATCGAGTCAATCAATGTCTCCCTCTATGTCTTGATAAAGAAAAAACCATAACAAAGTTCGAAATAAAAGATTTAATGAAATCATAATGTCATAATTCCACCTTTCAAACAACTTATTATCCTCACGTAAATCGCAACTTGTCACTCGAACGAAACTCCCCATGGTTAATATGTAATCTGGATTGCTTCATGTCCTTCAGGAAAAAGAACAGCGACTTCATCACCATTATTTTCCATACTTTTCTCTCGGATATCTTTTACAAGCATAAATAAAGATGAATATAGCACAATCTCCCAGTGATTTACACGAGAGGAAGTCAAAGGTCTCTTTAATTTCCCCTGAGGTGGCCGCCTCACCAGGAAGAAATAGGAGATCGTTCGGTCCAATAACGCTAGTCTGTAGAAATTATCAAGCTAATAACTGAGAAGATTGTGTCCATTGGTTCATCAGTGACAGAATTAATTATTTCAAATCTGTATTTCTCGGTCCAAGCGACACCAAAAATAGTTCCTTTATAATTTTGTACGCACCTTCTATAGCATTTTATTGTCAAGGGAAATAAATCTCAAAGCTCAAAGCCAATATAACGTTCGAGCACGTGAAAGACCTCCTGAAAAAAGCTAAATTTTTGGAAATTGATTGTGATGAAATCCCTGTTCCGTTTGCTGTACTGTAGGGATACTGAGTAGTTCAAAATCTCCAATTTGTAATGATTTTCGCGCGAGTCGTACAAATTGCTATTGTGGCGACTGGGTTTTACGAGCGTTCAATCGAAGTTTTCTTGGTTATTTTTACTTCAGAAAGCGGAAATGTGCTGACAAATATCGAAAAATGTCCATTTCTCGTCTTCTTTGAGGCGACCGATGGAAACTTCATGGAGAAATACAACGTCACGCCATCGTGACAACGTACATGTTTATGACAAATGACCGGTGTGAGGATAGTTTCGTGTAGATCAGCTGACTTCAATATGTTTTAAATGACATACAAGTATAACAGAATATCTTCAGAGGACTTCGGATCGCTCAAATTCCCATAAAAGAAGGTGCAGCACTCGGAATCTGGATGATATGCACACGATTTGAGGTATATGTTTGTAGTTACGTCGAGTAGTCCTCCATGAAGGTTGATCAATTTTTTTAAAAGATGACAACCAAAGGCGAGATTTCTCTTCGGGATATTGCTCATAAGATATAACATTCTTTCAAAGCCTTGCATGTTTCGCTTGTCTGAGACATTTATTGTTGAGAACATTAGATATAAACATCGCCAAATTATGCAACATCTGATTTCTGAGCTTCGTTCGCGAATTTCCCCTATAAAAAGTAGAGACAGGCCCGCAGAGATTTTTATATATCTAAAAACTAGAATATTATAATTTGCTAGGTAGGTAGTTTCAGCTCCAGAATCGGTGCACTTTTGGAGAAATTCAGATAAACGTTTTCCCCGTTTTAACAGACAATAAAAATGACCGAAATTGTACAGAGATGAATAATCTATTGGTGTGTTCACATTCACTCCCTGGGAAAATTGAATGAATCGATATGAAGATGAATGATGTTACTATGTATGGTAGAAGTGCCAGTTTGTAATGTTGTATTTAGCTTGAGATAGGGAAATAAACATTTCCATTTTTTTTGCGACGTTTTTGTATGAAAATGAGGCCTTAGGCCTCGAACAAGCAGGCGTTGTTACCATGGCAACAAGTGTGCTGTGACCTTTAAAAAGGGCATTTTTGTGTATCTCTTCTGAGTGCCTAACTGCATGCAAAACTTGAAGGGGGACTGAAAATTTTCATTTCCCAAGATGTTTGATTCTTACAAAGACTTGTTCCTAACCTGCCAGACTTGGTCTAGTAATGGGACAACAATAAAACCACATTTCTCTGTCAAGTTTAACGCTCCCAATGCGGCTATTTAACTTCAATGAAACACAATTTAACGCTCCATTTGATTGATCATGCAGCGATCAGAATTTTCTCTAGAAATTAGTGTGCATTTATACCTTTAATTTCTTTTAACATCTTAACAGCTTGCGGAATTGGACAAAGGGATCTTCGGACATCACCTGTCTTCCTCACTTCTTGTGTTAATGGATCCCAAGTAAAGTTGTTTGAAAGACAGAGTGGTATTCCTTTATCATAGTTTGGTAATAAATTCTCTGTGGTTTGCTGTCAGAAAAATAGACAAGTCATCTTCAAAAATTTTTAGTAATAGTCCATGAGCCAAGGGGCCTAAAAGTTATGCCTCGTAGCACCCCCCATGCGACATAGTGAATTTGGAATCAAATTAAGGCTTATGACCTATATTTCTAGAATCTAGTTGTTTTCAAACCGGTAACGTGTGCTGTAATGAGATATTGGGCTGCTTTCATGGGGGATTGGATGAGGAGAGTTTGCTTACCATAGACGTGGTGAGAAGATAAATGGTCCATACCTCTAACAAACATCAACCAAATTGGTTCAAATTTGCAAGATATAGTTGTTGTATCATAAGCTACCCAAATTTGTTATCGGAACTAAGGTTTTTGGTTTCCATGGCAACAGGCCCCAGTCAAATACTGCTTGGATATGAAAATATGTGGTTTTTCGAATAAAAAATGAAATTTTATATATTTAACTCGAGTAAACACTCATAAAAGTATTCTGCAGTAAGAGCGTTTGCTCTGAGACACCTTACTTCTATTGAAGATGTCCCAAAGATACATCATTGTCTGGAAAATGGCTATTGCAGGAAAGCAAGGATGAGTGGCATTCCTCTGGAATTGGGGTCACAACTGGTAAAAGCAAAGCAAATACAAAAAGGAAAAACAATCATCTCCTTATTGAGCAATGCATCTCACTGTAATGA